GATTTTCAAACATCCGGTAGGTCAAAAATTCAAATTAACGGTCGAAGTTAGGACTGCGTGAAAGAATTACTTTAGATCTTTTTTCCATCCTTCAAGATTGGGCCTCGGGGGTATGGCACTATTAAGTGGAAAGAATTGAAATACCCTTTGGCCAGGATGGTATTTTTAATGACCCAAAGCTTACATTATGTTGATTCTTCACAAGTCCATTACTTTTTTGATTTTATTGTATTATTAATTTGAACTAAAACATTTGTCTTTTAATTCCAGAGGAGATGGATTCTAAAGAAAAAGATGATGATATATACAATATCAAACAGGAGGATCTGAATGATGCACATTATCAACAATATGCAAATAATGATTCCACGCTTATTCAAGAAAACATTTATATAAATGGTACAGGCATCAAACAAGAACCTTGTGAAGATTATACAACAATTAAACAGGAAACATGTGAACCAATTTACAAAAGCAGTGAGGATTATATAGATATTGAACTTGATGTTAAGACAGAACTTTCAGATATTACACAAGTTACAAGCGAGGTAAAGAAAAACCTTTGCTCAGCTTCAGAGGAAACTATGGGATGTGAAATAGAGCCAAACGGACTATTGAAATCTGATGTACATATTGACAAAAATGCATTTGAAGGGTACATTCCTGATGGTTTTATATCTAATAGCGAATATAATGCGAGTGATGAAAGAGACCATACACTTGAAAGAAGTTCAAAAAAGCTAAATAATTCGAATGAATCATTTAGGTGTGAGATCTGTGGGAAGTGTTACAGTATCAAAGATGATTTTGAAGAACATGTTTTTTTGGTTCATACAAGAAAGCGACCCTTTCAATGTGAAACTTGTGAAAAAAGCTTTATGTCATCACCTATGTTAAAACGTCACATGTTGGTTATGCATAATGACAAAAAGCCTTTCAAGTGTAAATTTTGTTCAAAAAGCTTTCAGTGGTCTTCTCAATTCAAAAGTCATGAAGTCATTCACACTGGGGAACGGCCATTACAGTGTAACGTTTGTGATAAACGTTTTAAACAGACTGGTGCGTTGAGATATCACGAAATGATTCATACTGGGAAAAAGCCCTATAAGTGTAAAAACTGTTCAAAATGCTTTCCAAGATCTGCTGATTTAAAAAGACATGAAACGCTTCATACAGACCTACGGCAATATGAGTGCAAGGTGTGTACCAAGAAGTTTAAATGGTATGGCAGTTATAAACTACACAAAAGAATACACATCGCAGATAGTAAATTAAAGTGTAAATTTTGTGGAAAATGTTTACAAACAGCTAGTAGTTTGAGACAACATGAGATGATTCATACTGGAGAAAAACCTTTTAAATGCAAAATTTGTTTAAAACATTTTAGGCATTCTAGAACTTTGAACTGTCATATGCTTTTACATACTGGTAAGCCCTTTAAATGTAAAGTATGTGCAAAAGTCTTTCAAAGAGCTAACAATTTAAAAGTACATGAGCTCATTCATAGTGGAGTCAAGGCTTTTAAATGTGATACGTGCGAAAAATGCTTTGTAGATCCTTATAGATTGAAACGGCATAAAGTGACACATACTAAATCCTATAAGTGTGAAGAATGTCAAATGGGTTTCAGACGACTATTTGATTTGAAAAAGCATAAAAAAGTCCAACATGAAAGGACACGCAATAGGACAAAAAGGAACTTTATGTGTCACATTTGTGATCAATCATTTGTGAAGTTTAGTGCCTTAAAGTCACACAGACTGATACATAGTAACGAAAATGTGTACAATTGTAAATTGTGTGATAAGGTGTTTGAAAACTCAGGTGATTATGAAAGCCATCAATCTTTTCATAAAAAAGAAAACTTTAAATGTAAATTTTGTATGAAGTATTTCAATGACTGTGATACATTAAAAATGCATGAAATGTTCCATACTGGAGCAACACCATTTATATGTAAACAATGTCAAATGGGTTTTGAAACGAGAATTGAATTGAGAAAACATGAAATACTCCACTCTGTTAAACATAAAGTACCTAAATTAGACAAGGATTTTAAATGCAAACTTTGTTCAATTACTTTTATGCAGGCTTCTACATTAAAGATCCATGCAATGACACATTCTGAAGAAAAAACAATCAAATGTTCAATATGTGATAAGAAATTCTCAAGACCATTTGACTTAAAGATACATGAAAGGGTTCATAAATAACTGAGATAATTATGTTCTTTCTTAAGTTACATGTATGGATGCTTGTAAAACTCTACATTTATGTTGTATAAAAATACACGGCATTAACATGACAAAATGTCACCACCTAGTTGCTCACAATATTATTTGTTCAAACTTAAGTCAGATTTGAATTTCTGAGAACTCTGTAGATGATTTTGAAAAAATGGTCAATTTGAAACAAGTTTTTTGACCCTGAGAATGTCATTGAAGGTGAAATCAGATTTGAACTTCTGAGAATTTGAAGAAGATTTTGATAAAAAATATTGGTCAATTTGAAGCAAGTTGAAAAAATACCGTTTTGACCTTGAGAAGGTTATTGAAGGTCAAATTGTTTTTGACCTTGAAAATGTCATTGAAAGTCAAATCTATATTCAGATTTGAACCTGTTGATGATTTTGAAAAATAATATTGGTCAATTTGAAGCAAATTGAAAAAAGACCTCTTTGGACCTGAGAAGGTCAAATCTTTTTGACCTTTAAAATGTCATTGAAGGTCAAATCTATATCGAACTTTTGAAAACTTGTAGATGATTTTGAAAAATGGTCAATTTGAAAAAGACCTTTTTGACCTTGAAAGGGTCATTAAAGGTCAAAATCTTACTTGGAAGTTCTAAGAAATTGTTACAGATGCCGATCGCCAATCACCATCCACCTTCACAAAAAATGGTGACCATAACAATATGTCATCACTTTTTGATAGTAATGCCATAATTTTTGCTAAAAAATTTGTCAACACTTCTGTAATATTCAGTGTTTCCAGTCTGTTTTGTCCATGGTTAGAAGTAAAAGCTGTTAAAATATCAAAGTACGAAAAGGCCATTGGTTGGTTCATTGGCCATTCATTGGTTGAGGTAAAGTTGAGACACAACGGCAAAAATCAAATAAAAATCAACACCAAAGATTTTGTAAGTAATTTTGTTTGGTACTAGATGATATTTTTATCAATTTCAAAAGTGGTAGTTATTACTGTAATTTATACCTGATGGGTGTTTTCAATGTGATCAATCGATTAATTCCGAGTCCTGACGGAATGGCTATGATTATTAGGTCAGCTCAATCTGTCAATGTTGCGATTGTTTGACTTTTGCCTGTGTCTTTACCATCTCACTTAGCATAGGGTGAATTAGCTTACTAGTAAGGGATTTAAGGTCAGGGTGCATGATGGGAAATTTTCTGCATTCCTCAATTGAGTCACATGTTATTTTTCAAACAAGAATCACTCCTTCCCCACATTGTCTATATCTTCCAGTTTTGCACAAAGAGTGCACTTATGTGCCTAGAAAAGACTTGTGAGAAGAATGTTTTGATGAAGTGTATAAAAAACAAGAAAATTCAGTGAAAAAAATCAGAAAATTTTCAGAAATCTTTTTCACTGAATTTTCTCGTTTTTTATACATTTCACAAAACAAATCTCCTCACAAGTCTTTTCTAGGCACATAAGTGCACTCTTTGTGCAAAACTGGAAGATATAGACAATGTGGGGAAGGAGTGATTCTTGTTTGAAAAATAACATGTGACTCAGTTGAGGAATGCAGAAAATTTCCCAACATGCACCCTGGCCTTAAGTGAAAGTCTCAATGCATTGTTGACGATCCAAAATTTAATCCAGATTTGTGCAGATTGCATTTTTGCAAGGGTTATGCTTTGCTCCGATTTTCACTACGGCGCCTGTTTGATTGAGTATTTTGTTCAAAATTGAATACAATATTGAACAAAACACTCAATCAGCCGTTCGCCAGTCGATGGATCGGAGCAAATGTGACCCAGGCATAACCTAGATTAAAACTGTGATGTAGGCAATATTGACTTCTTATGTTATACACTCCCTTCACTAATACAGAAGTTTGAGAAACAGAAGTCTCCATTTTGTAGCATGTTAAAGACAATTATGTTTGAATTTTAATTTTGTTTCCATTTTGTAGCGTGTTAAAGACTAGGCCCTATTATGTTTGAATTTTAATTAGTTTCTTTTACAATTGGTCACATGATTCAGAAGGGGGCTTAAATTAAATTCGAACATGACTGTATTCATGCCTTCTATAAACTGTAAAGTCAACATTTCATCCAGGATATATTCGCGAAGAATACCCCTGGTAATATGTGTAATGTCATAATGGCAGGTTGTAGTAATGGCTGACCATAATGAACATTCAAAACATTTTGGTGAGTTTTCGTAATATAGACCTCAGAGCAGGGTAATATCGTTGAATACACCCCTTAGGCCTAGGCACAAAAGCTTTTAAACCCCTCACTCTCTTCGGTCGTTCGGGGTACAGAAAACGTTTGTGCCTAGCCCTACGGGGTGTATTCGACAATATTACCCCTGCTCTTCGGTCTATATTTCTTATAAATATAGATTATCAGTAATATAACAAAACAACAATTTTTTCAGTTGTTGACTGTTATATATTTTTAATGTACAATTGTTATACCCAAGAGAAATACTACTATTAAGAAACTACTTTAAATTAAAATTATTTAAACATAGTTTGTTGTTCATTTTGAATTGAATGGATTTCTCAATTGGAAAATAACATTTTACTGCTTAGCTAAATTGAAGACAGCTTATTTAATTAATCATTTCTGATTTTTTTGATTAAAATTTAGACTGAATAATTATTAATGTGTTTTTTAATAAGGAAAGTACATTCTCCTATACCCAGATACAAGGGGAATACATGTAGCCATGATCTAAAATAGGTGAGGAAAATTTAAATAGGTGAGGCAAATTTAGAATTGGTGGAGGCAAATTTAAATAAGTAGGAACATGTACACTACCAAGGGCTATATGTGTTTCTAAATGTCAACATTCAACAATGATACTTCATAAATAGATACACTATAATATACATCAGTAGTGTATGTTTTGTATTTACATGATGGTGACTTATATTGTCCATTGTCTATATCATAGTTACATATTAAAATATAAATGGCATGCATTACATGTCTGCTATTGACTCACATAATGTCCTACCAACTTTGAAGTAAAATATAAGGCAACATAGGGCTATCATGCTAGGTTTTAGTGGGAACATTTCAGTGTCAATCTTTTCTTCCCAGCTCTTTCTTAATGGATTCAGAGGTTTGAGCTCCTGACCAAAAGTTCTTCCAAAATCATGCAGTTTATCAATATTTTGAGCACTTTTCGTGTGATTTACGCCAATTCTTTTTTAGAAACTGATCCCCCTTTGGCAAAACCTAACGAAAGCCCTGCAATGTATATAAGGTTGACACTTATATGATTTCACTACGATATGTTATATAATGTTACTGACCTTTTAATATTTAGCACTATTACAATGTCACTGGTTACAATTTCTTAATTAAAAAAATCTACAAAATATGCATACATAGTACACAAGTTCGACTGTTTACAAAATGTTCCATATTTAATCACATGATGAATGTCATTTTGTGCTCAATGTGTCAGGCAATGGTGAATTTTATTGAACATGCTGAATCTTGTTTGACCAATGTAGTAATTGCTCAACATACTTTTGTAAGTGTTGACCTGAAAGCATAATTTGTTGGCCTCAGTGCCATTTTGGTCTTATAGTCTATTTCTTTGGTCCAATGCTAACTTGCAAGGCCTACAATTGCAATTGCAGTTATACTGTATTGTTTTTAACTTGCTAGGCCTGTGATGATTTGGGATGTTGCAGTGTTGTGATGGTCTGGTCAATTGTGATGGTTGGGCCAATTGTGATGCTTGGGCCTGTTGTGATGGTTTGGTCTGTTTATGATTGCTTGGCCTTTTGTGATGGTTGGGCCTGTTGTGATGGTTTAGTCTGTTTGTGATTGCTGGGCCTTTTGTGATGGGGTGGGCTGTTGTGATGATCTAGCCGATTGTGATGGTTGGGCACATTGTGATGTTTTGGTCTGTTGTGATTGCTGTGCTCTACTGCTATTCAGTAGTTTTGATTATATAAACTGGCCCTAGAGAAATGTCTCTGAAAGAATAATAGAACAAACAATTACACCATCATACAATCATTTATACAGATCATTCAATAAATATTAGGAAAAAAAGCATTTCATATACTTTGATTTCATTTTCCTAATACTTATTGAACATCATGTACGCTTACAAACAATTTTTACAATGTTGGAAATTGGTTAGAACACATACAGTAAAACCCATACAGATATAAGAACACCTCTATACTGAACACCTCTCAATGTGAAAACTTTTTCTAGGTCCAAAATATATCAACTCGACTTACATACATACAGAGAGAGTATTAAGAAAGCTTTAAATGTGAACATCTGAAATCAAATCTAAAACCTTTTGGCTGGCCCCAGTGGTGTTCAAATTAGATGGGTTTTACTGTACTAAATTACATCTACATTTTTTAAATAATTGAAAGCTTAATGAAACCACATACTTGACATTATTTATCTTATTAAATATGTAAAAGAGAACTATGCAAAAAGCAAGAGTTTACAGTAGGTAAAATCAAATTCTTAGCGCAGTGAACTTCAAAATGACATATCCCATAACCAAATGTTAATAACTGATTGCACATGAAGTAGAGTGACATAAGTTGTTTTAATTTAATAAGTAAATCTACATATTATAAACATGTTAGTACTATGTTGTAAATTGATTGGCATTTCTGTTAATGAATATTCAAGTTTTAGTTCATGACTGATCATAAATTTTTTTAAGGTAGCCCAAGAAGAATGAGTGACAAGTCACCATAACGTGTAAACTAGCAAAACAAAAACATGCTCCACTGGAACCACTTTAATATTAATTTTCAAATGAATGTTTAGGTATGCCAATTAAAATGGAAATTTTTCCTAATTTGGTCCATTAACATGTAGTTTTTTTATATTTATTTTATGTATTTATTTCCTTAAAGAATATTGTACACAGGTTTGCCTGTTTGCATGCTTATTTCTTTAATTTATACAGGATCTACATGCACATGTTATGGCTTTGCAATCGAGCATTATTAGCCACAATTGAATATTAATGAGATTTGAAAAAGAAAGAATGAGAATAAATTTGCAATAAGCAAACCCTTACAGTGAACCCACGTAGTGCTTTTAAACCCCTTGAATCAGAATAACTTGCGTACCATTTACTATGTAGAGTACCATAGCAGAAGGTGAAGTGTTAATCACATTTTCAGGTTTTTAGGTCCAATACGACCGACAGTATTATATTTCAAGTCACTCAGGTTTGGAGTACTGGGTATAGTCGTAAGCGGGGAATCTTGGTCCTGCAACCATGCATAAATTAGCATATAATTAGCGAGGGATTGCATACATAATTAATGAGGGGTGACAGGGCTATGGGTTAAGACATAAGCAGGGGGTGATGCCTTGCAATTGCAACATGCATTGAATAAATTTGAATATATTAGCATAAATAATTCATAAGGTGTGATTCATACAATTCTAAGTAGAATATTGTTCATGCATAAATTAGCGTACATAATGAGAGAAATGTACATTTAGTAGATTAAGTTTCCAGTAATCAGTAGGTGAAAAAGTCCAGTGAATAAATTTCCTAAAATAATGCTTCTGTTAATTAAAATAATTAGCACATGAAAGTTAAATAATCAACCTGAGTAACCTGTAAAGTGGAACACATTTTAGATAATCTAAAGATCACTTTACAGGTTTCACAGTATAATGCTCAATTAATTGGTATGCCATATTTACACATATATAATCCGTACATTGTGTATGCATACCAGTTAAATTAGTATGGACTGGCTTGTAGTATTAGTAACAGTGAAATTCCCTACAAGAATTATATGATACTACAGGGTTATCACCAGAATAAAATTAGAGTATGGCTTAATACATTTTTGCACAATTTTATGAAATACAACATAAAATATTTGCTTACTAAGCTTTACAGTGCAGTGGTTTCCAAAGGATTTTTTCTCAAGTGGGTGCAAAATTCTCATTGTCACAATTCAGACCACAATTGGCCAAAATATTAAGTGATTGCAAATGGATTTTCTTGTGGGTGCAAGCATGTTTTCAAAATCGCAAGTGGGTGCTGCACCCACTTGCTTTAATGCTGGGGAGATCACTGCAGTGCACATGAAGATTTTCCAAATTAATCAACTGCAAGTATATGCACTTTGTCACACTCTATTTCACATAGTAAGAACCCTATAGCAAAATATATACACAAATTCTGGATGAAGTGACGGGGTGATTTTTACCATATACAACATTAGGTTCATTAGGTCTTCGAGGAGGTTTGAAAATAGTAGATGACTTTTGGGCCATGGATTCCTCGGGTGCCGGTGGGGTGATCTGACCCCTGGATAGATTCACAGGGGAGTTTTGGTAAAGCATGAAGCCATGTTCCTACAAGCAGGCAATTTTAAAAGCATGTGTTGGTCATTGGCCATGTTTGTTGTAAATTTTCAAAAATCCTAAAAAGCAATTCAAAAGCAACTCTTACCCTATAGAATTCATGATAGAGATTTTAGAAAATTTTTGAAAATATCAGAAAATATTAAATTGAATTTTAAGATAGGGGGAGGGGGTAATGGGAATTTAATTGGATTAAAATAACTGCCTCCCCCTTAACATTATTTCATATGTGGGTAAACATCAACATTTCCGCTTTCTGTCAAACATCTCCATATTTGGATTTTCACAAGCCTTCTGTCTAATTCGAAAAAACATAAACATGACCAATCCCAGCATGGCAGATAAGCTCCAGTATTTGGTTTACATTTACCACGGAATTTTGTAAACTGTGCTCTGGGTATTTGATTGTCTGCAGGGTTATCAACATACATATTCTGAAATCATCATGCACATTTATATCATGGGAGGATAGGGTCACAATAAGGTTCAGCCCTTTCATCTAAAAGTGGCTTGTGGAAAAAGAATATGAAGCTAAATTCTGTAAATTCTACTTTAACATGTCAACACACCTCGCCTAAACCATCCATTCCCATTGGTGTACGTTTTCTCTAAAATTTACATGTTTTGCCTGCTGTTGGGGGTTTTAACAATTATACCTTTTTACCGATGAAAAGGCTGAGTTTATAACATAAAACATTGATTCATTTACATGTATACTTCAAACCTCTAAAACAAAATTCCGTACTGCCAGTCTTCATACATCTAAAATGGAAATATAATATCCCTAACCATTGAATATGCTATATGGCAATTAACTAGCTAGAAACTAGAGTAGGGATATAGAATTTGAGGAATTACAAAGGTGCAAGATCAGTGAAGACAGGATGAAGACATGAAAGCCTAAGTACGCAGACACTAAAAGTTTGAAACAAAGCAAAGTGAGCTCAATACAAGTTCCAAGCATGCATCTAAAGATTGGGTTGAATGAATTTGGACAAAATGGAAAATGAGTTGTCAGAAAATATTGAAGAGTGATTTGTAAAGTAGAAGGAGCCTGTATTGACGAGAATGGCTTATAAGAAATGTGTAATAGTGTATCGAGGTGGTTTGGAAAATCACATACTTTTTACAAAAATTCGGACTCACTTTTTAAGCCCATTTGAGAAATTTTGAGGACCAAAACTGATTGCTTTTAATAATTTATTGGGGGATTGTGATATCATCCAGTGAGGGTTGGTTGAATTTGGAGCACAAATCACATGATGGGAGAACTACTGAGATATACCTTTAGATCTATGTTGATTGTTTCACTTGAATTGTAGTAGACAGTGGATATTGGACTTGTGCTGCCGCTGTCAATCTAGAGGTATGTTAAATAATAAGTAATACACAAAAGAGGGAGGTTATTTGCGTATTATTAAATACAGCGGGTAACATCCTGATCTCAATTTGCTGCCAGTTTGTTTGCAGTATCATAGCAAATGTAAGGGGTTACAGACACCAAACGCCAACCACCGTCACAAAAAAGTTGGAGACTATAACAATATGTCACCACTTGTGGTAGTGACAGAAAAAATGAGGCCCCTTGTTGAGCTAGCAACATTATGAGCTAACTAACAATATCATGTTGTCATGGATAGGACTCGGGAATATACAAAGGTGGTCAAAAAAACTGGAAACCCTGCATTTTCCTCATATCTTTGTCATTTTAAGAAATTACTCCCTGATATTTCACACATTTGTAAATCATTCAATTTCCTACTACCGTACCATATTTCATGACCATCAGACTGATAGTCACAATTTTCAAGAACTTTGAACAACATGCTTCAGGTTTGGCCATCATCATGCTGTAGGCAAACCTGCACAGTTGTCAATGATCCAAATGCATTCCTCAGCAAGTATGGCCTGAATGATGCAGATGATCTCACTTTTGAGGTCTGCAATTGTCCTGAGGTCATTCTTATACACTCTATCTCTGCCATATCCCCATAGGTAGGGACATTTTGGACAACATGTGCAGGTTGGTCTTCAGCGCAATAGTGGCCACCGGGGATGTTCTTTAAAGTGCTGTAGCACTGTGACTATCAATCAGATGGTCATGAAATATGGTAGGCTGGTAGGAAATTGAGTGATAAATAAATGTGCAAATTTATTTCTTAAAATAATAAAGATATTAGGAAAATGGTGTAAGGGTTTCCAGTTTTTTTGACCACCCTTAGAACCTAAAAATGAACATGCAATAAGAAAATATCCATTCCAGGTGTTGTGATAGTCATTAAAATGTCTTCAACATGCTTAGGTTCAAGATGCATTATAAAATACCTATAAATCAACATGGCATTAACTAACAGGTCAAATAGGAACATGCCCTAAAATAATAGATCTAATAGGAACATGCCCTAAAATAACAGGTCAATTAGAAAAAGGCCCCAAAAACAGGTCAAATAGGAACATGCCCTAAAATATCAGGTCAAATAGGAACATGCCCAATAAGAGTCCGCCTTACAACATCCCCTAGAGATTGCCTCCTTTCAGCCTTAAAACGACTGAAGATAGACTTTCGTTTCTCTGGTTTGGGTATCTTGAAACTGACATCAAATGAACTGTTAGGATCCTTTGCATTTTCCATCGGAATCTTGAAACTGCTGTCAAAAGATGGGTCTGATGATTGAGGTAGTGTGGGGATCTGGAAACTGCTGTCCAGAGTTGATCCTGACTGATTAGCTATGGGTATCTTGAAACCAAAACCAGCTTCAAATGATGCGTCCTCTATTACCTAAATACAATAATTAATACAAAATTTCCAGTCAAATCTGTCAAAGGGCAAACTGATTAATCAGTGAATTTTTTTCAAAAAAACCTTTCTTACTAAAGTACTTTCTTACTAAGCAAATATTTGAGGAATCGTAACGTAAATAAGTAAGCAAAGTGGCTGTTGGAATGGAAAATAAGAAAATGTTCCTAAAAAGCACACGTAATAGTACTATACAATTTTAATATTATATAACATACAATAAATAGCACAAGCTAGAAGACCTGCACATACTGACATATAGTGCAGTCAGAATGAGGGTTTGAGCGTGCGTTCAGAGGGATTTTATGGGACATAATTTTTTATGTTGCTAGTATGATTTTACATATTTTTATGGATTATTAGATCTTAGTTTTTCAGCTTTTAGATTTTGTGGCCATTTTACCCCCCATGGGCTATAATTTGGACCCCTACTATAAAATTGGGCTAGAACTCCAAAAATACTCAGTAGAATGTTTCCAAATTGCTATGGTATATTGGTATGGGCTAACTAAATATACGATAACAATTTCAAGTCACATGTTTAAGTGGTTGCCATGGAAATGGATAAAACATACCCTTCGAGTGTCAATTTTCAGGCCAAATTTTCAGGAATGATAGAGTCATTTTGTGCATATTTTGTCACCAGTCTGTTAGGAAGGGTTAAAATGTGAATAGAAAACTTTTGTAATATGTCAGCAACAATCTTATGTAAAGATCAGTCCACAGAATCTCAGATTTTGGCCTTATATGGGTCTATGATTTATACAGGGGCCTATTTCACAGATTCGAACCCCCACATTGGATGGATGCTATAACTTTTGAAGTAAGGGAAATACAGTTCTCATTTTTTCAGATCTTCATAAATGACTGGTTTCAAGTATTGTATCATACTTTGGGAGCTGGCATATGATTGGTTGCCATGGTAACCAAGGTTTTATGGAAATTCTGACCCCCACATTGGAATGATGCTATAACATTCGAAATAAGGGTGAGACATGTCTCATTTTTTCAGATCTTAGACAATGATTGATTTTAAGTATTCAATCAGACTTTGATAGCTGAAACTTGATTGGTTACCATGGTAACTAGGGTTTTATTGAAATTTGGACCTCCACAATTGATAAATGCTTTAACTTTTAAATTCAAGCAGATACAGATATCAGCTTTTCAGAACTTAAAAATAATACAACTTGTGTATTGTCTCTGACTTTGGGGGTTACAATTTACTTGGTTGCCATGGTAACCATGTTTCATTGTCATGGAAACTTCATTTTTGATTTCAGATGTACCTTCATTTGAGAATGGTCAATACACAACATAGAACACAAAATTGCTCAAAATTATCATTTTACTCCTAATTTAACATTTTTACATGTATATCTGACAGTATTGGCTCATTCCATTCTACTAGTTCTCACACATATTCTACTAAGTTGTTTTTACTCATCATTTTATCTATTTTTGACCATTCTGGTATAAAGAATTCCTCGGGGAATTCATAGTTCATTCATGCAGTGTTTGGCTTGGTAGAGCTGGGTTTAGGCTGGTGGGAATGTTTCCATACACAGGTTTGATGATTCACCCTCTTCAAATGTGAGAGAGTTGAAATGTCAATACCTTCATAAGTGAGGGCAGCACTGTTCTGTTTTTGAGAATACTAGTATCTCATGTGAAACAGCTCATCATAGTGGTAGTTATTTTTGTAATTCAGCTGTACTTTTGCAGGTGAACAATTTAACTTTGGATTTTATGGTATCAGGAATTTCTATATTGTTTCCTATTGAAGAAAACAACTTTAAGAATTGTTTGTCTTCAGTTTCAGTTGATTTATTTTTCTTTTGTTCAGATCCAGTAATGCATTGAAGGCTAATATAGCTTCACATAGTACGTCGTCCTAAGTTTGCAGCTACAGGGGTTTGGTTGAGCTTCTGACATCTAAAGGGACAGAGTTCACATCAGTTGAGGTTCTTAATGTTGTCTTCTTCATAATAGGAAACAATATAGAAATTCCTGACACAATAAAATCCAAAGTTGAATTGTTCACCTGCAAAAGTACAGCAGAATTACAAAAATACATTTTTTAACTGACATCGATAGATTATGATATGAGCTGGTTCACATGATATATTCTCCAAAACAGAACAGTACTGCCCTCACTTATGAAGGTGTTGACATTTCAACTCTTCCCGTCTTTCAAGATGGGTCCTTGACTGCTTTCATAGCAGCTAATGTAATGCAATGAATTACTTTGGAGCCAATGATGTACTCTTCCACCTTTGAAGAGGGTGAATGACAAATCCTATATGTGGAAGTGGAAACATTCCCACCAGTCTCCCAGGGAGTTCACTATATATAAACCTTGAGGGGGATCCTCGGCTCAGGTGGGGTACTTCAGACATTTGGTATGGCCCAAATAGACCCAAACTTTAGGATCTGATATGAGAAATGAGAATGTTCTTCAAATTATGACTTGAGGTATGGCAATGGTCAGATTTTTCCACTTACTGGTATGAGAATGGTCTTGTAGTATGGCATTGATCTAGTATATATCCTTAATATGAGGTTGTTTTTGGATTGTTTTCCTCAAAGATCTGCCTTCTTCTTGGGGCATTAGACATTTTGAATGGCCATGTTTTTATATCTGGATATTTGATATCACATTGATCCTACATTTGGGCATTTGGTATGGCTTTTGGGCATTAATTTGGTTGGTATGGGAATACATTCAAATTTGACAGATTGGTATGGGAACATATTGATATCTGAGGGTTCAGCCCAGGACCCCAGCCAAATATACAGTGAACCCCCAGGGACCAATCTTAACCCATTCTGCCAAGCCCAATACTGCATGAATGTATGAAATCCCCTGAGGATCCTCCACTCCAGAATGATCAAAACAAGCCTTCATTCCAACAGAAACGGTTGAAATTTAAATCAAAAGGCAATTGTGCAAAATGAAAAAGTAACGATGAGTACAAATGAACAAATTAGGAGTCAGAATATTTGTGAGAACTAGTGGTATGGAATGAGGCAATATTGTCAGACATAAATGTACATGTATTGTTTACTAGTATTTAGTATTTTATGAGCCAAACAATTTTTGCATCTCTAGTATTAATGAGTCATGAGCATGTAAATCATATAACATAGAAAAATCCCAAAATTATGAATAAAATGGCAATTTGGTATTTCATATCATGTATTGACCTATCTAGAATGAAGGTGAATCTAAAAACAAAAAAGACAGTTACCATGACAATGAAACATAGTAACCATGGCATCCAAGTAAATCCTAGCTTCCAAAGTCTAATACAATATACACATTTTATTATTATTTTAGATCTGAAAATACTTTACTTTTATCTGCCTGTATTTAAAAGTTATAGCATTCATCAATTGTGGAGATCTGAATTTTAACAAAACCCTGGTTACCTTGGTAACCAGTCTAATACAAGCTCCCAAAGTCTGAATCAATCCTTAAAATCAATCATTGTCTAAGACTTGAAAAAATGAGACACCTATATCCCTTATTTTAAAAATTGTAACATCCATCCAATGTGGGGGTCCGAATTTCCATAAAACCCTAGTTACCATGGCAACCAATCGCATAACAGCTCCAAAAGTATGATACCATACTTAAAACCAGTCATTTATGAAGATCTGAAAAAATGAGACCTGTATTTCCCTTATTTCAAAAGTTATAGCATCCATCCAATGTGGGGGTTCGAATCTGTGAAATAGGCCCCTGTATAAATCATGGACCCATATAAGGCCAAAATCTGAGATCCTGTGGACTAATCTTTATATAAGATTGTTGGTAATATATTATAGAAGTTTTCTATTCGTATTTTAACCCTTCCTAACACAATGATGACAAAATATGCATGAAATGACTCTATCATTTCTGAAAAAATGGCCTGAAAATCAACACCTGAAGGGTATGTTTTATCCGTTTTCATGGCAACCGCTTCACCATGTGACTTGAAATTTTTATCATATATTCAGTTAGCCTATACAAATATATCTTAGTAATTTGGATACATTCTACTGAGGATTTTTGGAGTTCTAGCCCAATTTTATAGTAGGGGTCCAAATTATAGCCCATGGGGGGTAAAATGGCCACAAAATCTAAAAGCTGAAAAACTAAGATCTAATAATCCATAAGAATATGTAAAATCATACTAGCAACATGAAAAATTATGTCCCATAAAATCCCTCTGAACGCACGCCCAAACCCTCATTCTGACTGCACTAATACACTTGAAGCTAAAACACATACTTTATATTGATTTAACAACAACAAAGGAAAGATGAGGCTTATCTATACATAGATCAAAGATATCAGAAGCTATAAAGCAATGAAGAAACACAAATCATGATTTACAGTTACATATGGTTTAAAACATTAATATATTTCACCAAATGCAAACAACATTTGAAACATTACACTCGATAAAAAGCTGAATTTAATTTGAACTTTCAATCCGTCCATTTGGGTTTTTCTGTCGAAGTCATCAATCAAAGCAACAATTCCAATAAATTTAATTGTACAATAAAATTATCATGAAAAATTCCCACAATTCGAAAATGATCTTTTTGAAGTGATAAGCTAAAAACTACTTACAGTTAAATCTGTGGTGCTTGCTAATCTCATCCCTTTTAGGTCTCCTCTTGGAGTCATTGTATTGCTATCACGCCTGGCAAATGGACTCTGGGAAATACTAGACACTGTTCGTTTCAAGTGACGAGGGGTCTGTTTAAATGAGAAAGCCCTGCTGACTCTTTTCCCAAAACGACTAAAGAAATAAGTAAATAAATAATTTTAGAGTGAAGTTAGTAAGTTTACCAAGATAGACAACACATTCAGTATAAGACATTAAATAGTAAAAGGTGGTTGTAGATTCTTCAGCATGAAAATACGGCTTATCCATACATCCTAGGAAATCAAAATGTTTTCTTACTTATAATAAGCAAAGTTAACGACCCCCAAGTCCAACTTTTTTTTTGGTAATGATTTGTTAACAAATTATGGAATGAACACTTTATATTAATACAAAGATTCAAATTCTTAAATTCAAAACATATCTAATACATATTTGACATCTTTAAACTTTTGACATTTTTCTGCTAAACAGTAAGGCAATGAAATGTTTGTTTACCTTCTGAGGGACTTCTGACCAATATCTGACAGACTGATATCTAATGATTGTGCATTCAAAGTTGCCATCAGGTTCTCCTAAAAAACAAACATTATGAGGCATTAACATGACAATATGTCACCACCTAGTTGGTAACAAAATTGTGAGCTCAAATCTAGTTGAAAATACCTTTTTGACCTTGAGAAGGCCATTGGAAGTCAAATATCAAATCTAAAGTCAGATTTGAACTTTTGAGACCTTGTAGATGATTTTGAAAAAGTATTGAAGTCAGTCTAAACAGACTCTAAACAGTAGCCTACTTGTCAAGTTATTGAAAGTTATCAATACATGTATGAATATCCGAATAATTTTGATTTTTTCTGAATTTTTGTTACGCTTGCCTTGTTATTCTTATATAGACAAAGCTGAAATCTTACATAGTCAGCCCTGCATACAGTGTTAGCCATGTGTTTACATAGAGTCTTTAGAAACTCTGCTTTGTTCACATCTTCGCTCTCAATCAGGAAACTGTACAGCCTCTCTTTCATATCAGTTGTAAATCGCCAGACTAGCGCAAACACGTTTTTACAATCTGAAAAATAAAAGCATTATTTGTCATTAACAAATTCATAGTGGACCAGTTTCTAAAATATAAGATGACTTGAAAAAGTTTGGAAAAAACAGAAATATGAAACCTCATATTTTCTACTACTTGGAATGTTTTAAGCAAAGTGGATTATATTCCGTTATTTCAATATGAAATCAACAAAATCAAATTAAATTTGTAATTCATTAATTAGAGCAATCATGGTATTCATTTTTAGAAAAATTACATGGAAAAAATGTGATCAAAATCAAGTACCATAGTACTCTTTTGTACATCAACATATAACAGGTAAAACTCTAGAATGTACATACCCTCTGTTTCAATAATGTCCACTACCCTCTTTATAACCTGGAGTGGTAGCATCTCTAAGTGTTTATAAGCCTTCTGACTAGGGGCCTTGCTTGTTGGATTGGGACTCTTGGATAGCAAAACCTTGGTTCTCCTTTTACAGATCTGAATAAAACATATAAAAACATAGTTAACAATTTACATTCATCCTAAGCTTTTTGTATATTTATAATTGAAACTGTACATTTACAATCTATTCCAATCCTTTAAGATTTATTGAATTAACAATTTGCTATACATTTGTCTTTAATGGTCAAAAATGCAGATCCCCAAAATCTCATTAAAAATGAGACTCTGTCAACAAGATTTCAAAGCTATTCAAATATTTCCCAAGGCATTTTAAGCTGCTATCTTAATTCAAATTGCAACTTGTTTTCGTAACAAATGCTTGCTCCTGGCTAGTTTAGCTGAGTATAACCTTTAATGAACAAAAGTTAGAATTTTCTTACCTCTAAGCTATCATTGAATAATGAGTATAACCTTTCCTTTAATGAACAAAAGTTAGAATTTTCCTACCTCTAAGCTATCATTGAATAATGAGTATAACCTTTAATGAACAAAAGTTAGAATTTGCTTACCTCTAAGCTATCATTGAATAATGAGTATAACCTTTAATGAACAAAAGTTAGAATTTGCTTACCTCTAAGCCATCACTGAATAATGAGTATAACCTTTAATAAACAAAAGTTGGAATTTGCTTACCTCTAAGCTATCATTGAATAAAAACAGTGTGATGTGGTCCCCTTTGCCACTCAGTGAATCAGACAGCTCAATGACATCAACTTTGGCAATGAAAGACCTATGGGACGACAATAAATTTGGCTGGAAAATAAAAACAAACATAATATACGGGGTTGAAAATGAACAATACGGATAATTTTAAATATGGCCCATAATGAAGTCACACATTAAAGCTTACATTGGTTCATTCTAGTTCAAATTAAAAGAAAGTTAATATGTAGTGAATATCACTGATTTAACAATATAAACACTCATCCAGGAAGCGAGGGGTTGTGGGTTCGATCCCCACTAAGGTGGACTGACCTTTTCACATCAGCCATTAGCTTTAGTTTAGTTTTAGTCATTTACTGTACATTATACTTACTGGGCAGTTTTCTATCTCTCCTACAATGTCAAACATTGCTTTCTGGCCATCTGCCTTCCTCTTATTCTCATTGATAAGCCTGTTAATAGAATAGAACATAGAATATCAGAGGAGTTTGTCATTAGAGAAATTGAACAGTGATCAATAATACTGCTACCAAGATCTATTTTCATTAGTCTCCTACTGTTAGATTTTGCAATCTTTGCAATGAACTTTCTCTTGATGTCCATACACCCTCCTGTGATTGATCTTAACCATTTAAGAGACAGAAAGTACATGCTTTTAAATGAAAGCAAAGATCACAGAAAAACTTACGTGAGAACTTTATTTAGTTGTCTTATGGCTTCTTCTATATGTGAGATGTCTGAATGTCCTTTGCTGGTTCTTTTCAATAAATCTAAACAGAATATATTCATTATAATTTCATTGTTCCTGCCAATGTGATTGAGCAAAATATTATATGCAAATACTGAGTGATGAAGAAGGCAATGTATAATAGTCAATTTTCTCTGGTTGCTTTTAAAAAAAATTGGCAGTTATTTTGAGGAATTTTGCGACTTTCTGTGTCTCATTTTCAATAATTTTGCCAGTTGTTTTAAATTGTTTTGCCAGTTGTCAGAAATTCTAATTAAACCATTGCATCATCTCTTGAAGATGGCTCTCGGGTTCATACCTTGAAGGAGTAAGACAATTCTAGGCAGCCTCTGTACAGGGTTAATAAATAGCTCAGCTAGGGTCTGTCTCCCACATTCTGGTTTACTTTGGCACACCTAAAATAAAATATTGAACCCAGTGAGGAATGTGATCTCTGGATGTCAACAATATTTATTTTTCATAATTTACCCCCTCGTTGCCTGATAGGGGTGGGGGTCAGAGGCTAAAAATCCCATGAAGACCACCCTGAATCACTTGGCCCGATATCATTTTTCACTCAGATCGAGTGTTTCTGCAACTGTGCCAAGTTTGTTACTTTCCTGAAAAAGATGGACATCTGACTCTGCTACAATATAAAGCAGTTCAACTAATAACCACACTTTAGTATTTATAATATTTTTCTAGGTTAATTCCTATATAATTTCTGATAAAGACTGATATGTTTTCTTATCCAGTGATCTCCCTAGGCGGGTTTAGGGTCCAACTAGGCGCAGCGCCCGGTAAAAAGGGTATGGTGAGATCACAGTTATCAATGTTAAAAGAGCTTAACTCTACAGGCACAGAGTATATCTTACCTTTAGGAAAGCATGGAACCTTGGTATAGTCTGATCACATTGGGTTAAAGTGGCTTTTGTATTCTCAAAGAAGTTAACAAATGGTGGGTAGGCCTTCATAAGCTCATCAGCCTGAAAGATAAATACAAATACATATATCTACATCTCTAATAACTTTTAACACATCTATGTTCCCTTTATATGAAGGATGTAAAGTTAGCTAGGGTCTTTTCTGAGTTATATTTTAAACAAAAAATCTAAAGCAGTTCTGCGAAGGGTCTTGGGTTGTTCACGCATACACATACTAAACACATAAAAATACTAAAATGGAAAAATATAAATTTTGAGTATGGCACTATACCAAGTACATAAAAATCAATGCAGATTGTGACCTATGACCATATCCTTATAAAGGTGAAAAATGGTAGCCTTCTTTCAATCTATTTATTTTGAAAAAGTAGACATCACCTTTAAATACCAATCCAAAAATGAATCTTGACATTGTTCTTACATTTTAAATCTACTGAATTTTGGATTGTAAGGAAAAGATGGATAACGTTTAATTTTGAAAGGATAACTGATACCTGTTCGAGAATTATTTTTCCTATAGAAGCATTTTCATTCCAAGTGGTTGCCAAATCACACAGTTTGTCTCGCATTGTCTCGTGGATTTTGCATATCTTGGGTATCGTTCCAAAAATTGTTTTTATATGCTGTGAGGAAAGAAGGGGACCCCCTTGCTGGTCTGGCTTCTCTATATCCTCTTTAATCTAAAATGCAAAGAAAGATGTGTTAAAAGCATTGAAGAATTACAAAGGGCAACATTTGTATGTGTACTACATGTTGCAAACACATTGGAAAAGCCAAAACTCCAATCTACTTTCCAGTCAAAATAATAGAACAGAATAAATATTGTGTTTTTACAATAAATAGTTTACCCATACAGTTCATATTGAACAATAGTAATTATAAATAGGTATTCTTTCCCATGTAAGATTGGTTTGGTTAAATAATCAATTTGAAAATTAAATACAATAATTCTTAGAATATATATCAAGGAGTCAAGGATACAATTAAATAATGCGGAACTGACCTTGAGAATAGTTTGCAGTATTCCAACATAGTTTTTCTCAGTATGGTACAACTCGTGAACAGTCTGTTGTCTTTTGCATATCTTGTTGGAGTTAGGTGGGGTGATGGGAGTCTTGGGAACCTCTACAGGTTCTGGTGAATCTAAAATGTAGTATTTAATAAACTTGTTCAAAATCAATCTATAGAATCTCTATTTCAAAAGCATAACTTGACTGAAGTTTGACAGTAAAAGACTTCTTTTTTTCTCTGAATAAAATAATTGCAATGTTTTATTTAACATTTCAAACAACTTTCATGGTACTTCATCTACAATTATGTTCAAATTAAAATAAATTGTTTTGACAATGTATCAAATCAAAAATGAATGATGAATTTTTAAACCAAACTTGAAAATAATCATTAACATAGATTTTGAGAAAATATTTCAGGCAAATATTTCACCTCATGAGCTTTCATAGGGAAGATTTTTAACAGATATTACTATACATTCATGGACCCTAGTTAGACATTTCTCACATTGTATTATATCTATGGGTTTACACTTTCTACAGGCCTTACCTAATCTTGATACATCACATGTGGCATCAAGGAAAGACCCACCACTCATTGACATCCTTCCAAGTTCATTAGAGCGTCGTTTCTGTCCGTGTCCAATAGCAGGCGAATCGACCTCGGCTTCTGAAGCCAATTGGTGGAGATTATCACGTAAACGCTTCCTCTTACGAGTTTTGGTGGAGCCCCCCATGCTCCCTGGAGTGGCACTACTTGGCGTCCTATATGCATGTCCATCTGCCTGTAAACAGTTAGATTCGTTTTATGTTAAGTATCAATAGATTTGAGACCCTGAAACTTAAGGTAGTCCTTTTATACCTTTTTATATTAAATCATTTATGTATGAGCTAAAGAGTGGCCCAGAACTATGCATAAGTTAAAATAGATTCTTTTTATCTTCATTGCTAAGTATGACTTATCAATTGCTATTTGTTTGTTTTTTGGGGTCAGAATTTCACAAATTTTACAATATTCATATTCAATATATGATCTAATTAATGCAAGCTCAAATTAAAATAAATAATAAAAAACAACATGACAACATTGTCAACATGACAAAAATAAGTTATATACTAATAAAAATCGAAATAAAATAAAATTAATAGAGGAATTACAAACTTAGGAGATTTATTTCCATTTTGTTCTTGAAATATGGAGTTATGCAGCTTGGCGGGAAAAATCCTTTGATTACTTGAAGTAATGGACATAAAACCTAAGACTCCAATGACAATTGGCAGTATATCCACTCTTCTGATCATTGGTTTGATATTATTACTAAACTATGGCAAAAAGTGGCTTTTCTTCTCCGATTATGGGTAATATATGGGTATTGTGGGTATATAAGAAAATTCCCTATAGTATCAAAATATCCATCAAAAAGTATCTTATATGACTGAATGGGAAAATCAATGAAAATTAAATGAAAACCTGTGAAATGCAAAGAATTCAAAAACAACTTCCAAAATGAAAACCTTTATTGAAAATTAAGGTCAGATTGATACGGAGAACTGTGTCTATCTTACATTATCCTAAAACACAAAAATGCCCTAAGAGATATTGTAACTCAAATGAAAATGAAATTATAAATGAAAAAACAATATAATAACAGAAAACTAAAATTTGAACAACATCTTATCCTATGAAACCTGACCATTAATATTCTCCCTGATTTTTTGATGGAAGACAAGCCATTGATGTCTTTTTGATGTTCACTAATCGTTGCCATTGGCGTGACAATTTGACTTCTACGATTTTTCTTTTTTGTACTTGTTGATACTATTGGAGTACTTGATGACCTTTTGAATGGCGTTTTAAATGGTGTTGCCGAGGTAAACAAATACTGGTCTTCGTTGCTAGGCGCTTGTGGAGCAACCTTGAAAGGTGTTGTCATGGAAACGTCATTTTCCTGGGAAAATCGATCCATTGAGAAAACTTTAAAATTTACAATACCACACATTCCAAAAATTGAAGAGCAGTAAAAGAAATATACAATAAAATATATCACAATTCAATACTTGCAACTTAGTAGACTTTTATGTTTGACATTTTGAATTTTCCACATCATCATTCAATCATGCACGAGAATACATGTTGTTTATCTAAAAAAAAGGTTTCTGGTAACAACTAACTGAACATACCGTTTCATATCTGTACATTGACTCAGAGGCGCAAGCATCGATCTGTATACTGCTCCAGAACCACTGAAAAAATATGTAACTCATGAAAACAAACAAATGAAAATATTCTGACATGTTAAATACAGTGAAATTCTATTTCTCCACAATCGTCAAATGTATCATACTAAAATGTAATATTTTTTTCTGATTTGTTACATAATATGGATATTCATATAAACAACCATAACAATTTTTTAATTGCTGAAATCAGCAAATATCTTTAACTAAAATGTAATATTTTTTCTGATTTGTGACATAATATGTATGTACTTAGCAGTTATGTCCCTATCATTGAATATATGCCTGAGGTCTGTCACCAATATAGCCCGAGCTTGCGAGGGTTATATTACGACAGACCGAAGGCATATATTCAATGATACGGACATAACTGTTGTATTACATACTTTTATATCAATATCATTATTATATCAATGACGCCACGTGTCTGTGTGCGAGTGAAATTAGGAAGAAATGAAACATGACGTCCCGATGACGTCATAAGTACAGGAATATATAGCCGACCTTCAGCTCCATTGACTTCAATACAAATGCTTCGCTGGGTATGTAATACATGTTCACATAATCATCTATAATAACTTTTGGAGATAAATTACAAGGTTACCTCTGCTTTGACTACTCTCAATTTAGGGTGTGTAATGAATGGTATTGTTTTAACAGTATGGCCATCCACTACAAGATGTGTACATTCAGGAAAGCCTTGCTCTACAACTCTACCACCTGAAATAATATAATAAAATGTTATTATCATGTGAATAAATGACATAAGTGGTTGCTGCACCAACTTGATATTTTAAAACAGACTTGCTCTCATTTGAAAACACTGTAGTATATTACAAAATACTAGAGAATGGTCGGTCAAGGTTCGGCTCGATTAACTGCGCTGTTTGGCCCCACGGTTCTACTGGGACTGTCTGATCAACATTAAGAACCGAGCCCAGAATGGACAAAATACCCTAGGACATGTTAGTAATCAAAAATGTAAAAAGTTACAAAAACTGCATCCTAAAAATATGTAGGATTCTTTTTTTTAATCATCATCATAACTTCATTCCAAGAATATAAATGTACACAACTAAATAATTGCAAAAGATGCGAGACATTGAGGACAATTTTGAATGAAACAGACAGGAATATTATGATGTAGGATCATCTATATCTCTCAAAGGATAACCAAGATTTCAATGACATTTGGTGGTGTGGTGTCTCACCATTTTGAACAGCAATTTCTTCCATGTGAGAAACCTCATCCTTTGAGAAGCCAATGAAGCTAAGGATGCAACTGTAGAATGGCTTGACTTTGTACTGCATCTGAAATACATGCAATAATCATAGTTAAGAACATTTTAGTTTCCCCAGCTTCCCCATTAGTGCCAATGTTATATAACATCGATATGAAACTTGGCAATTTGAAGAAAACCATCATGTTGACTCTCATAAAATCACTGGTTTTAAATATCTATTTTATTTGTAAATTTATCAAGTGGAAGAAAGTAGAGAATACAATACATTTTTTTGATAATTCTCTGAAGTTCAAAAATGTATATTGGATAAATTGAAGAGCTTAGTAGACCAAAATCCCATCAAGAACACTTTCATAATCATTGAAATCTTAATCATGTTTTAAGTGCATACCATTTCAGAATCTAGTGAATTCTTCTCAATATCATGTCGGAATGACCAAAGTTTGTTGACCCATTCCTCCATCATGATTGGTGTATCCATACTGGTTGCTAGGCGATACTTCTCCCCACCAGAGCAATTGGCGATGAGATGTGTAACTTTACTACTGAAGTCTTTGCGGATACTGCCTCCCATGTGATGAACAAGATCTGCCAGTCGCGACTGAAGAATTTACAAAATTAAAAAACATCAAATCTAATTCATAAATAACAGTTTACAGTTGTTGAGATCTCACCAGAATCAAAACATCTTAAAGTAAGAGGGATCTAGTCCTTGAAATAAAGTTTTTTTGCCCCTCAAATAGCTGGTGTTCATTTCTTATATTCAAACTCATAATTAAGATTGTTAGGATCTTATGAGAACCAAACTGTCAAATCATCTGTCATACTAAGAGTGACTCACTGATGGGGGATTTACTCAGGGTAAACTACTCACCAGATCTTCCTTGACTTTGAACCCAGTGAAGCATAGGATGAGGTGCTGCATCAGCATGCAGTATAAGGGACGAGGGTTGATCGGTAGGGGCTAAAATAAAGAGCAAAAATATTTAGTATTATATCTTAATGCATATGCAACATGCAGTTTGAAGGATGAGGGTTGTTCAGTAGGGGCTAAAATATACAGTAAAATCTTTTTGTGAAAATGAATATATCTCAATGCATTCATGAAAAACAATATTGTCATGACTATATCTCATAACCTGGTTACAATTACAAGAATGTATTCCAATCTTCTTTTTTGTTTTAGATAACAGCTACTTTTATGACTTCACTGAATGTAATACTCAAGGAAATACACCATGATCAGTTTCAAAATGCATCTTTTACATTCACCTGCTTTTTTAAACTTATTTGGCTTGTATTTCAAATCAAAAGTTTTGAAATTTAATAATTGAATTTCATCAATCATAAATTCCATAGAATAAGTGGGCTCATGTGGGCTGTATCATGTCTAAATGATCACTAAACTTGGAATCCATGGTAATGTTTGAGTAAAACAATGATATTTTATTTTGAACAGCAAATTACGATCACTCCAAAATGTATTCCTATGTAAAAATAGAGTTCTACTACTTACCTCATTCAATTTGGCACAGCGTATAATAACAGGGGGACCAATGACTCTTCCTGTTCCTTGTCTATGCACCTTGGAGACTGTCTTAAACAGATCACCACTAAAGCTTTCCATGACATAAATATTGTCATATCTTTTATCACTTGTATATTTGTGTACATTGTCCTCTTGTATTTCTTCAGTTTTCAATGCAAGCGTCTGAAAATGATGAAAATATTGAATTCAACATGCTCGTTTGATTGAAATAGATTAGCTGATATTAGGGAATTAAAAATAGCTTGCCTAACGTAACATGCTGCTGTAATAAGTGTCTTCAAAATAAGTGGCTTAAAGACTCAAATTCAACGCTTGTTAAAAAGTACTAGTGTTTGTTCTTGAAGGATTTTTCAACAGAGTTTTATAGGCCACGTTACTACAAAAAATCTCAATACGGACAGTGCCCTTGTAACTAAAACAAGGCATTAATATCACAAAAAGTCACCAATAGTTAATTGACATTACAAGAATTTGTTATAGACACTGGACCCTGAACACTCCACAAATAAGTTTGGGACATATAACAACACGTTGATCCAATTCTTTTCAAACATCCACATTTTGGTGGTTACGAACATTATTACGATTACCTGAATGAATTTCAGTAATTAGTCTAATAACCTCACCTTCAGAGCCTGCTGTAAGACTTTATCATTATGGCACTGTTCCCCCACTAAAATTATCCTAGTGTCAGCATGGTTTGATTCATGCACTGAAAAGTAGGTTATAAATACTAGAAGCATATAAAACATGTGTCTCTGGTGATACTAGGTAATGCAAATTTGCTGTGTCTAAATGTGAACCTATTTTCTGTTATAGTCCACGGTGTCACCATGAATTTTCTTTGAGATATGGGCTAAAAATATGTAAAAAGTCTCAACTTGGTCTTGGAGGCAATTTGGTGTTCCACCATGGGCTTTCTGTTGAAAGCCCATGTCCACTAAAAAATACTAAAATCAATAGATTGAATGCCCATGCTAAAATGCACTCAGTTGAGAGCCAGGTTACTGAACACAGCTGGCTCAAAAGCTCGGTAGAGTAATAGCCAGGATAAATCGCACAATAAGATAAAAAAGTGTGAACTCAATTAAAGCTAGAGTCCATTTCACTGCTTCATTTCATCAGTACAACGGCAAAAATAAGAAATTGGGAGACCATTGTGCAATAATATATGGAAAAGTATATTCATAATGTACATGAATGACATTTGTATATCTTGGATTGCTTCTAGTTTGGCTTATAAAGTGTGTGGCCTCTTATATTTGGATGTTTCTCTGCCATGTTATTTTCAATAAGATTAACATGGCTGAAATTCTTCAAATTACAAGACGGCACAGGCTTATTGCACAAAAAACTAAAAAATCTGAAATGTACATGTTCATTCATTCATGTACATTATGAATATACTTTTCCATATATTATTGCACAATGGTCTCCCAATTTCTTATTTTTGCCGTTCTACTGACGAAATGAAGCAGTGAAATGGACTCTAGACAGATCTTTTACCAAACAGTTCTTTTAATTGGAATTTGAGCCAGTATCACTGGGACTGTAAAACATGATGTAAACAGCATGTTTGAAATCTAAACCCACCCATGAATTCAAAATGTGTTTACAATATCCTGTAACCGTTTTGAAACATGCCTAAGGTGATTAACAGTGATTGTCAATATAAATCATGGCATGTTTTAAAATATTGTTAAAAACAACTCACCATCTCTTTCGTTCTGTCTCGTAACATTTGTATACTCTACTGAGTACTCTGATCTGCTGTCTGCCATTTTTTATTTTGAATTTCTTCCAAGAAAATAATGACATAGGAATGTCGTCTAATTTAGCCCAACTGGTGCGTTTTGGTGTAATTCTTTCCAGTATTTGTAATCTATGGTATCTATAGTTTATGTAGTTTGTATAATATTCATCCTAAAGTCTCTATAATATCCATAATTAATCGAAATGTGCACTTTTTCGATAAATCCGACGTTTGAAACACAGCGGTAATTCATATAAAATTCCGATGATTTGATTGGCCAATTGATGGTCACGTGAGGGAATTCCGGGGGAATACCAAGATGGCGATCGAGGTAAAATTTTAAAAACTAGAATTCCGGGCTAATATTTCATCAAATCTCTCCATAGGAAGATGTATCAAGTCCTTTTTGTCCTCCATGGGGTTCTTTGGGAATCCTCACACTCAGTTAGGGTAAAAATTTGAAATAATCAATGATATGCGATTCAGGAACTGGCGAGGATTCATGAGATCCGTGATACGATTCGATTACAGTCAAATCATAAATGTTTGGGAGTAGGCTACTTTGAATTTAAAAAATAAGCAATCAAATGACCAAATTGAAACAGTTTATAAAAATATAGAAACATTTATATTTATCCTAACTTTTGTATATTTCAGATAGTAATGTATAATGTGCAGCAAAGCTGTGGCCTTTTGTAATTTAGGAAGTTTCAGCCATGATAATTAACATGGCAGAGAAGTATAGAGAAATATAAGATGACACAGATATGATAGCTAAACTACAAAACAAACTAAAATATACAAAAGTTAGGATAAATATAAATGTTTCTATTTTTACATAAACTGTTTCAATTTGGTCATTTCATTGCTTATTTTTTAAATTCAAAGTACTCCCAAACATTTATGATTTGACTATAGGCTAGAAGAACTCGCACCAAGACGGCAAGTTTTTGAAAAAAATTTCAGTCGGGCTTGTCAACCTATTTTCTTAGATTCAGCTTGCCAATAGATTTCCCTTGGCCTATGGCCCCATATAGAGAACCAAAAAGGACTTGATACAATTTTCTGTAAGGCATCACAGTGTGATGTGAATCTCTCATGACGATGTAATCACATGCTATCTATTGCAAGACTTATACCTGGCACAACTGTCATTATTGTGAAAGCCTGGTATAACCGTGGCAATGCTTCATGTATATTATATTGCAAGGCCTGTCATGACTGTGGTAATGTTAAAGCCTGATATGACCGTGACAATGTTATATTATATTGCAAGGTCTGTCATGACGGTGGTAATGTTAAAGCCTTATATGAGTTTGGCAGTGGTTGTAAGGCCTGTCATGGCCGTGGTAATGTTAAAGCCTGATATGACCATGACAATGTTCACATTCTTGAATGAGATTAGAACTACATGTACTGTATAATTTGTGGAAATGGATTATGAGTTAAAGTAGTAGTACATGTAGTAGTAGTCTAGATTTACATATTTAAGGTAGATAAACAATGAAATTTTTCATTACAGTATTTTCATGCTACTAAATGTCACGTTAATATAACCATTGTCACAGTCATATTGTGCTTTAATATTACCACAGTCATGTCAGGCCTTGCAACAATTGCCAAAGTAATATCAGGCTTTAACATTACCACGGTCATGACAGGCCTTGCAACCATTGTCACGGTCATATCAGGCTTTAACATTACTATGGTCATGTCAGGCCTTTCAATATAGTAGCACTGTCACGGTCATATCAGGCTTTAACATTACCCAATCATTACCAGGGGGCTATTAACAGAAACTTCTTAAAGATAAGAATTCGTAAAGTACATTGTTCTCTAACTGTGACGTCATTATATCCAGGGTAACAACAATTGATTTACGAATTCATAACTTTATGAAGTTTCTGTTAATGGCCCCCAGACTATCATGATGACACTACCTACCACGGTCAAGGCAGGATCCTAGCGAAACTTAATAACATGGTGACGGTTGTGCCAGGCATAAGTCTTGCAACAGATAGGTTAGATGTGATAGTATAAATGTATTTTTAAGTAATCAGTTTAATCACATGTAATTTAGAACCCCCATTTCCATAATATTTGAACATGTAAGTATTCAACATTCTACTCAAAATAAGTCATGATACATGTATATCGATTGACATTGTCAGAAAATAATGAAATTTACCTGTAAACCAAGGCTGGGGACCAAGGCTAACATGTAGGCTGGGTGTACGGATAGCGGGTGGTCATACTATAATCTGATTATAATATAAAAGTAATTTCTATTACACTTCTTCATGGCTATTGTACCATCTGATTGGTCCATTCGTGGAAAACAATTTGGCAGCACACATACAGTAATGTAGTTGTACATGTACATGTACAAGGTGTCCCAAAAGTATGGGGCCCCCCTAGGCAGACATATACCAATGCTGTCATAGTATGTGTCATATATCATTTTAAAGTTTATCCAAAGTTACATTGATTTGCCAAGTATCATGGTTCAACTCTCAAAATGTGAAATGGCATTTCAAAATTTAGTGTTTTGTCAAAATTAAGTTAAATTTTACACCACATTACTAGTCAATATGTCCCCCTTGGCCATGTTAACAGCAGCAATTATTTTCAGATATGGCCTTAAAAGCCCTTCAAATAGGGGTGTGGAATTTAATAATCCTCAAAAAGAATTGCTGCTGTTAAGATGGCCTGGGAGGACACATTAACTAGTGATTTGGTGTAAAATTGAACCTAATTTTGACCAACACTAAATTTTGAAATGCCTGTAATTTTTTCACATTGGAGAGGCAAATCAATGTAACTTTGGATAAGCTTTAAAATGATATATGACACATACTATGAAAACACTGGTATATGTCTGCCTAGGGGGAAGGGGGGGGCATACTTTCGGGACACCCTGTATGTACCGTTTTACCAGTTTGGCTACATATATTTATTTAGGTTCCTTGTGGATATATCATTTCTTTATAATTTTTATTAAACATGCTTTTCAGGACAAACAGTGTAAATGATCTTTAAAGTTATGAATAATTTAATCATAGCTCTAGAACATAGTTAAAGTCATCCAATCGAAAGCACCATCAAGATTTCAAATGGCGACACAAAGAGTGGTCCAGTTAGTACGTCTTGGGCGTATGCCATATGGCACGACCTTAAAAATACAAAATGAGCTGGTACAAAGACACTTGGAAACAAGAGAGCAATCAGTTAGTGCCACAATGGGCAAGTCAAGTGAATTTCAGCAACAATTAAAGCTCAAAAATGAACATGATGAAATATTGGACAAATTGATTTTAGTAGAACATGAACCAGTGTACACTATAGGGAAAAGAACTAAGGAGTATACCATTGAGGAAAGACAAAGACTTGAAGCTTTAGGGGCAGATTTCTACAAGACTAATCGTGGGGGATTGATCACATATCACGGGCCAGGACAACTAGTGGCATATCCTATTCTCAACCTGGCTAACTATAAACGTAGTATTAATTGGTAAGACCTTTTCATCATTCAGGGGTTTCACCAAAAAATAACAAAATCCTCCACACAAACAAATCCTGGGGAGAGCACTGAGGTTTTTAGGGATTTAAAATAGCCAAGGGTGAAAGGCCATTTTGGGTCCAGAAACAAAGCAGGTTTAATGGCTGAATCTGAAATGCTACAAAGGCACAGTCTTTCCAAACAACGTTTTTTTGTAGATATGCTTCACAGTGATCTCCCCAGTATAAAGCAAGTGGGTGAAGCACTCACCTGAGATTTTAAAATCAGGCTTGCAGTCTTGCACCCACCTGAAAATCAATTTGTTCCCACTTGAAAATGAGAAAAACATGAAATTGGGTACATTTTGATCAATTTTGGTTGGGAGTGTGAAAATGGGAATTTTGCACCCTCTCAAGAAAAAAATCCTGTGGAGAACACTGTTTCATTGAAGCTATTTAATTCTGCTGCTGAGCAACAGGGTACATTGAGGAAAATTAAATGAAAATTTTCTAAAAATAAACAAGTGAGTACATTTAAAGAAAAAAAGATAACATGAAACTATAATTAAAATCTATCATAGTGGGCCATTGACCCATGAGTATACACTGCATATGTGTGATGTAATTTTATTATATTTCAGGTATATGTGCACATTAACAAAAACGATCATAGGCACTTGTAGACAATTTAACATAGAGGCTTCCTCTTCATCTGATGTAGGAGTGTGGGTTGGGAACAATAAGATATGTGCAATGGGTATGTACTGTACATGGCATAGGTCCAGGAACATGTATATAATTAATGCAAAATCAAAGTGTCCCATCGGAGCTTGACTGTCCCCCATCTTCATTCACTCGGCTCCAATCGATTGATGAATGCAGTGGAAACTGGATTGTGCAAAGATAACTGTAATCTCTTAGGAAACTTTGATTTTCCATCAATTATACATCTTCCTGGGCCTATGGTACATGTACATTTTATTTACTCTTTAAAGGGTTCCGATTAGCATCCCGTATAAAAACAATATGGCGGCTCCAGGCGAATCAACTGGATCAGTCCATTTTTAAGAAATAAGGGGAGTTCTGTAAAATCCAGTTTATTGAAATTGTCTTTGAGATAAAGTAATCCGTTTAAATAATGATTTTGAAAACGTTATCCAAAGAGTGATTGCGTTCAAATAATACATGTACAACAGCCAATATAAATTCTTGTATTAGAAACCGGTTTGTCTTGCTTTGTTATCCCATCGAACGAAGTTCGGAGGGATATAGGGAACGCCTCCGTCCGTCCGTCCGTCCGTACGTACGTCCGTACGTACGTACGTCCGTCCGTACGTACGTACGTCCGTACGTACGTCCGTCCGTCCGTCCGTCCGTCTGTCCGTCCGTCCGGGCAATAACTCAAATACCATTGGCCCGATTTTGTTCATATTTTGTACACATATACCCTATGGGGGTAGAAGTTCTGCTCGATAGCCGATTTTCAAAATGGCCACTCATTTCAAAATGGCGGCCATTTTAGTGACGATTTTACAGTAATTTGGGTGCAATATGTAAAACTGTAATAGCAATATGTTTTAAATGTAAAAAAATTATAAAGGACATTAATAATGCTACAAATGTAGATATTAAAAAAGCACATGGCAGCCATCTTGAAAAATGGCGGGCTTTACTCGTCATTTTACGATTTTTGCTGTAACTCAAAAAATAGTGGAGCGATTTTGTTCATATTTGGTGTGTGAATATTATAAGCATTGCACACTGTCTAAAGACACTTTTGGTAGAAGGCGGCCATTTTGAAAAATGGCCGCCATTTTGAAAAATGGCCGCCATTTTAACGTATTTTACTATAACTCGAAAAGTAGTGGAGCGATTTTGTTCATATTTGGTATGTGAATACTATAAGCATGGCACACTGTCCTATGACACTTTTGGTAGAAGGCGGCCATTTTGAAAACAATTTTGAAAAATGGCCGCCATTTTAACATATTTTACTATATCTCGAAAAGTAGTGGAGCGATTTTGTTCATATTTGGTATGTGAATACTATAAGCATGGTACACCGTCTATTTCTAATGACGCTTTTGGTAGAAGGTGGCCATTTTGAAAAATGGCCGCCATTTTAACATATTTTACTATAACTCGAAAAGTAGTGGAGCGATTTTTTCATATTTGGTATGTGAATACTATAAGCATGGTACACCGTCTATTTCTAATGACGCTTTTTGTAGAAGGTGGCCATTTTGAAAAATGGCCGCCATTTTAACGTATTTTACTATAACTCGAAAAGTAGTGGAGCGATTTTGTTCATATTTGATATGTGAATACTTTAAGCATGGCACATTGTCTAATAAAACTTTGGGGAGTAGTCGGCCATTTTGAAAAATGGCCACCATTTTTATGTGTGTTATTTTACAAGTACATGTGCGATTTTTCAAAAATTTTAGAGGTGGCTACTTAAAAGCATATTATTTCTTCTGATGACAACTTGGCTAGTGAGGAACCATTTTGAAAATGGTGGCCTTTCAGGTGTGTTGTTTTATGATATTTGCGCTTCGTTTGTAAAAATGCCAGCCATTTCTGTTCGATGGGATTCGCTACGCTTTGGCGTTGCCGTTGTTCTGGTTTCATTTGTAGGATATTTCATATGCCAAGCTGTGTGCTATTACTTTATGGGGAAATTTAGATGCCAATTTTTCCTTATTATACACAAATAGAAGATCCTGAAACTTCACCCATAAATGTGGAATTGATTTGTCAAAATAAAAATCACCCTTTTATAAATGTGTGACGATCTATAATATACTGATGCTATATAACAGTTAGAGGTGTTGACACAACGACCTCGAACCTGTGAACCCTTGAGTATTATTCCGGGATCGGGCCTTTTATACTAAACGGTGAGCAACACCAGAAACGAGCGTTTGATTTGCTGAACGATATGCGTCACCCTTTAAGTCTAGCTTCAACCATTGTGAGTCTCTCCCCCTTCTACACACCCAAGGCTACACAACTCCCTTGTGCGAGAAGGTGTGTAGTCAAGTAGTGGGAGGACCAGGGAGGGGGTCTCAGGGGCTTGTAGCTAAACTAAAAGAGCACCTAAAATGTACTTAAATTAGTGAAGCTTCAGAATTGGAAAATGCAATGATTGTAGTATAAATACATTGTGAAAGGATTCGTAAGACTTTGAATGAGATTGGTAGTAGGACATGAGTTCATTCAGTTACCGACAATTCATCAAGTTATGCCTTGAATTATTTTATTGCAAATGCTTTTGTACACAGTCCCCTCAACTGTCAACTTAAAATATATGAAATTATGAGTGAAATCAATTTTACTGAAAAAATATATAATGCATATTTGGACAGTTTGTATGGCATTTTGGTGTTATTTTGGTTGGTATGGGAACACATTGATAGTTTTATCTGAGGATTCAGTCTAGGACCCCTGGCTAATTTTGTATACAGTGAACCCCCAGTACAGGGGTTTAATCATATTGTGTATTTCATCAATATGCATGGCATAGCCTTGAATTGCAATACTGACATGACATCATTTAATTGTATTGTACCTTGTATTTCCAGGTGTACATGCCAGTACATATGTAGGTTCATCACTATACATGGAATTGCCCTGAATTGCAACACAGACATGACATGGTTTAATCATATTGTACCTTGTATTTCCAGGTGTACATGCCAGTACATATGTAGGTTCATCACTATACATGGAATTGCCTTGAACTGCAACACTGACATGACATGGTTTAATCATATAGTACCTTGTATTTCCAGGTGTACATGCCAGTAGGTTCATCACCATGCATGGAATTGCCTTGAATTGCAACACTGACATGACATGGTTTAATCATAATGTACCTTGTATTTCCAGGTGTACATGCCAGTACATATGTAGGTTCATCACTATACATGGAATTGCCTTGAACTGCAACACTGACATGACATGGTTTAATCATATTGTACCTTGTATTTCCAGGTGTACATGCCAGTACATATGTAGGTTCATCACTATACATGGAATTGCCTCGAATTGCAACACTGACATGACATCGTTTAATTGTATTGTACCTTGTATTTCCAGGTGTACATGCCAGTAGGTTCATCACTATGCATGGAATTGCCTTGAATTGCAACACTGACATGACATGGTTTAATCATATTGTACCTTGTATTTCCAGGTGTACATGCCAGTAGGTTCATCACTATGCATGGAATTGCCTTGAATTGCAACACTGACATGACATGGTTTAATCATATTGTACCATGTGGCCTTGTTGGTAAGGGGGTGACATCTATCAGTCAGGAACTGAATCAAAATGTGACAATTGAGGATGCAGAAGGTCCTTTCCTGAAATCCTTTTCAGACTCTTTTAAATGTGAGATTGTTGAAATGTAAACCAACAATTACATTTTGATAGGCCTTTTTGAACTGGAAAATCTAATTTTTAGGAAGACAGCCACATAATTTGTATTTTAGAAGACAACTTCACAAACCATATTCAATGCTGTTTTTTCTAATTATTTCTGATATAAATACCAATATATTGCTGATTTGATATTGAGACTGTGATGATATAGTAATTGATGATGGTGTAAAGTCAGATACCGTTGTCACAAATGGCGGACATAACCGTCGCCTCAACTGTTTAATCACCTGGTCCTCGTTTCATGGGATTTTATTGTTGCGAATTCTGTGAATTGTATTAAGCTCTTGTGATGATGTATCATATGAAATCCCAATTTCGATCAAATTGTGTCGTCAATCGCCACAATATAGCGTCTTCGATATCGTTAATGACAACGGAATCTGAATTTGAAATAATTTACAAAGACAATAGCACATGGTAAGATGTGACAACGGACTATGGTTGATGTATTGCATTGGAACATAGGAAAATGACAACTGTTAATAGACATTTTACCGTTGTCTTTACATATACCGTTGTCAAATATTACTGTTGTCACCACGATTTTACATTACATTTGACCCGCACATACCGTTGTCATTTATACAGTATCCGTTGTAGAAAAACAATTTGAGTGATTGCTGTACCAAAGGAATTTAATCTAGTCGCTCTTTAAACATACAGTTCATGAAAATCTAACTAAAGCGACGATTATGTCCGCTATTTGTGACAACGGTATCTGACTTCACCGTTGTCAGGCTATTCCGGTGTGATATTGTTACTGGTATTTGATATTATGCTGATGTCATATTTATCATATAATTGATGCTAACTATGTGATCTGATAATGTAATATGTTGAGGTTGATATTCTTAACAGTAGACAGTTAAATATTGAATAACTACTTTTAGATAATAAATATTTTAACTATAGTCAATTAAACATGTATGTCATAATAATTAAGAATAATTTCATTATTATAATCTTACTTTTTCCGATTCTGAAAAGTGATACTAATAATTTTGCGAGTGTTTTCATTTGGCGAATCAAAAAAATCGCCAAATTAAATTGTCGCCAAAATTCCTGGGTATTCGACTTGTCTTTCGTTCGGTGAATTTACGATTACAAGATGCCCGGTGCCCTTTAAATTGTTTGATTTAAAGCATACTTAATTTAAAGCGTATTTAATTGATCAACAAGAATTAAACGGGATTAGGTTGGAGGGTATAGATATAGATGTAACCCCTTGAAAATCCGTCAGATTAAATAGACGTCAATATGTTCGATCTCACAAAATCGCCAATTTAAGTAGCCCAAAAACAAATACAGTAAATAGTTTGGCTTAGTTTATGTATTTATTAATAGTGGTCAGTCTTGCAATTCAATTATAAAATATAAAAAAATAATTACAATTTTACCTAGCCCACCTTGGGCTTATTAACCACTGTTAACAATAAGAAAATTGACGAACTCTTAAAAAGTACCTTTTGTGCTCGATTATGAATATTATTACATATTTATTTATTCTTCAAGTGCATTCACATCCCTTGGGGTCAAGTACATATACAAACAAAAATTATAACAATTATAAAAGAAGGAAAAATAACATTTACATGTAAAAAAAACTACATAACTATTAGTATTACTATTAATGATGATGATGCATTGGTGCACTAGAGATATAGCTATTGGTACTGGATGTAAATATATACTTTGCTACATTTATGCAGTTTTGATCTTTAACAGACATCAAATAAATAAATGGATTTTCTTGTACTGGCATTTTCATTTTAGTCAACATTATACTTCTTTGTTTACTATATTTTGTATAGTGAAGAAGATACTGTTCTTCATTTTCTATAATATTGCATGTTTCGCATTTTCTCTCCTCCAGAGGTGTCGGTTTGTTCTTGTGTAGCGACCGAGTTCAATTTGGAGATTATGTGCACTTATTCTAAGTTTAGTAAACTCTCAACGCAGGTCAAAACGTTTTATATAATCTAAATAATTTTCATAGGCAAAGTTACTTTTGAATGTGTTATAAGTTCTTCATTTGTTATTGCACTTTCGTTTTTGTGTATCATTAAAGATTTTATTCTTCCAGAATTCATGAAATCGGCTCCTTAGACTTTGCTTGCATTCAGATAATATTAATTCTGGTGTTATATCTAGTATTTCTTCAGTATTTCATTAATATTTTAATCAATTTTAAGAACAACGAATACCATGACATGAAATTCTGATTTTTTGTGTTGTGACATGCTTGACTAAGTAACAGGTTATCAGAGTCCTGAATATGAGCATAAAAATTACAAATTCTATCAAATATGTTTATAAATAGTGGATAACTCCCAAGTTCTCCATAAATAGCCATGTTAGTTGCCCTTTTCCCAACACCTAGAATATGTTTACAAAAAGATATGTTTAACTTCTCAGACAAAATTTTAGATTGCTTGAGGTATGTATCTTCTAAGTTGTCAGTTGAGACATTATCAAAATCATATGGCGCCCATATTGCGGCACCATACAGACATGGTGCTATCGTATGGTCAAAAAGGCTTACTGCTAAAGACGGCTTAATATTACAGTATTGAAAATATTTCTTAAGTTTAAACAATGCTTTGGATGCTTTTTCATGTAAATAATGCTGGGCAGCCATAAAACTACCCGAACTTTTAATGATAATTCCTAGATATTTATATTCTTATATACATTGTACAATCTATTTTATCCTTGTTATAATAAAACATTTCAGTACATGCATTACCATTTTTCTGGAACTTAATAATTTTTGTTTTTGAAATATTAACAGATATTTTCCATTCCTTGCAATATTTCTGAAGTGAATTAATCGATGATTGTAAACCATGTTTTGATGTTGAAAATAATACGATATCATCGGAATACATAAGCATATTTAATTTTTCATTACCTAAAGTTGGACAGTCGTTATCTAAACCAATATAAGAGGGTAAATCATTAATGAAAATATTGAAAGCCAAAGGAGAAATTGGGTCCCCTTGCCGGAGGCCTATTGTTACTTGTCTGAAATCAGTGATTTTATTTAGTTTGTTATCTTTTATACAAAACTGACTTTTTGTATACATATTTTCTAAGATATTTAGCAATTTGCCTCGAATTCCTGCTTTTAATAGTTTAAAGATTAATGCTTATGCCAAATAGAGTCAAATGCTTTACATATATCATGAACATCTTTGTCAAATCCCCAAACTCCTACACCATAACCTAGTATCGGTAAAACGCATGTATTATATAATTTTGTGGAGGTTTTATAACCGAACTCATTCGACATTTTGCATCGTTGAATCAAAGAGCCTAGTGCTCGACCAGTAGAGTCAGCCATAGCTGTGGCTGTCTTTACAAAGCTGCCATGTCCATTAAAAACAACACCAAAATACTTGCAATCTTTAACAATTTTTAAAGACTTTTAAAGTTTCCAAGTTTAAAGTCGAACTCTGACCGTTTCGTGCCTAAAATGTATAATATTTGACTTATCAATGTTTATACAGATTTACCTCCGAGCTTGCTCGCTAGGATCACAATATCATCCGCATATGCTAATGCTGTAACCTTAGTCACATTTACATCAACTCCAAGCTTTGATTCATTTATCTCCTTTAACAGGCCATTTAAAAACAAAGAAAATAAATTTGGAGATAATGTATCACCACACCTTGCAAATGTTTTTTCTGATTTGGGCCTCGTAAAATTCAAAATGGCCGCCTTATGCCCAAAGACACTGTATGCAGAGACATCTATTTATGTATATAGCATTTATTTTATAGAACTATAATTTTGTTTGTGCAGTGTATACATGATCTGTTGACAAATAAGCATTTTATAGGCATTTTGCTAACCCCGGGGTGATTTGAATTAGGGTCCTTTGCTTTTCCCGAGAATTGGACATTTTTATTTTCAAATGACAATATTAACTGATATTTAGTGGAGTCCTACCTTAAAATAGTCGAGCAAACCTGTTTGTAAGAAGGAAATTCTTTTGTTGCCAAAAATCACTGATCCGTAACACACAAGTTTGGCTAATTTGTAGCAAATCTAGCCGAAAATTGACCGATATGACCAGTATTTCACTGGTTTGCTAACAGTTTATTTCTTTGAATGTCATAATCATAGAATAATTGTGACTTACTTTACACCTATCGTCAAATTTCACCCGATTGTAGGATTATAAATTCAAATTCAGCCATTCAATTAGTTCAGATATGGTTCATTTCTTAGAAAAATTGGCCTTGTATTGGTAATTCTGACATCAAAAAATGTTGCATTAAATCCTATATTGAGCACAATATGGCAAAATTATACAATATTTACTCAAAAACAGTTCACATGCCTCTCAATTATAACTTCCCGAAGGTTAACACCATAAACATACTCCATAACAGAAGAGCTCACGTTTGTAAGGCAATCCAGCAATATAACTGACTTAACAGGTCATACCATTCTGATACACATCGCATCTAAAAAACCGTCTGTGTTTAGTTAATTTATGATGCAAGAAGGTACATGAAATATTCCATAATGGGTCATACTAATCGAATAAGTCATGTTGCTAAGATTCTAGAACTGGTGTAAACCGGGGCCAGTGTAGACAGTGATCCATCATTTTATGTACGAATGCTGAAGTTCAATGAGCAAAGAGGATGTGTGTTCTTCTTTATTGAAAAAGTTTGATAAGGAGACAACGTGGAGCCAGCACTTGACTATTCTGGACCCGTTTAAACAATTCCAAAACTAGAGCTCAAAATATTTTTCAGATCACATTTAACAGGCCCATAGCCAGGATTTACCAAGGGGCTCACTTTTTGAAAATTCCAGGGGGTTCACTTTTTACAATTTTGGTCCAAAAATGGCCAAAGTCACTTAAAAGTGCTCAGAATGGTGAAAACTGCATGATTTTGAAAGAATTTTTATGCTCGAACCCATCGAACCCCCTGGCCACGGGCCTGTTTAATAGATAACAAAAAGGAAAACAGACTGGGATCAAAGAAAACAAAGCAGCAGACTAGACAGAAACATCACCATTCACTAATACGAATACCCTTATAAATGTGGGGGTCTTCAAATCATCCCTACGACTACTTGTGTAATGAAATCTTACTCTTGAAAAACATTGTCAGTAGCTAACACAAATCTGAATTTTATCTAAATAATCACTAATCCAGCTTGTTTTCAACCGCAAGATTTTAATACACAAGCAGCTGTAAAAATCAACCCCATATTTATTGGGGTAAGTAGGAAGGAAGAATTCCCGTGCACCCGAAAAATATTAATTTTTAATTACAATTTTTTACACCGAAAGGGAGGGGTATACTTAAAGTTTGATTGATGTTAACAATGCATTCTCATGTCCCATGGTGCCCGTTATTGAGAGGTTATACCCCAACCCTCTGGACGCACCCCTATTATAGGCAATATTGTTATTTCTTCTAACTCCTTGAACTTTTTATTTCTTATTACATAACATACAGAAATAACATTTATTCATCATTTTAACCAATATGTATGTAAATAGCTCTTACGAAACTTGCTATAAGCAAAAAGTGGATACCCCAGGTGGCAAAATTTTGAGTTGTTTTCATACAATTTTAGATATAACTTTTTTGATGGGCATTGAACGGTAATTATAAAATTAATGTAAATACAAGACAGCCAAGATTTATTTTATATACATGTATGACCCATAGGTTCTTTATCCTTATTTGGGGTTATCATCCAGGGGTACGCCTGAAATGCATCCATTCGAGAACTCTCATTTCAATATATTTGCATTTTATAAATATTCTAGAAACCTAAAACGTTTTTAAAATCAACATCTAGGTTCAATACTACAAATCCAAATGCACACCCTTGAGGGAGCAATGTAGGCCATAGGGGTTCACTCAAGTCCTATTCAAAATCACATCTCTCTAAAATATCCTTTTTTTTAAAAAAGCATAGTTTTTTTTCAGCATACACTTTAATTTTTTCAGGATTACAAGTTCCACTACCAAGCTCTTTACATACATTTTACCACCTTTCGATGTCTATTAAAAGAGTTATATCAACATTTGTATGAAAACTGCTCACAATTTTGCTCCATATAGCAAGTGATTTTAAACGGTCATTTCTTTCACCATGGGCACTTCCTGGCCATAAATACAGTGGTTTTTATAAAAAAAACAATATGTTATCTTTCAAGTGAAGTTCCCGCAATAGTAAAATATCAATCCAACTCTCTGAAAATTATGGTTGAGGACCTCATCTGGGCACTTTTTAAAAAATGTTAGGCTTATTTTCCAAAAAGAGGATCTTGTTTTTCTCGATTTGACCCTATCGAAAAGGGGATTGGTATTGAAATGCGTTAAAGTTTATATGGACCTGCACTGTGGCTGCGGAGCTCGAGAGACAGCCCAACATCTACTCCTGTCCTGTCCTCTGACATATGAGAAACAAATGCGCTAGCAGTGGTAAAACAGGAACTTAACATGGACATAGCTCACTGGCGGGGCCCGCTCCCCCTTTTTAGATGGGCCTAGAATGTTGTTTAGGCCCCCAACAATTTTGGGTCCAAAGATTTTGTATTACCTCAATAATGAGCCTTTTTGGGCATAAATTGGCCCTTTTCATGCCTAATTATCAAAAATGGGCTTTACATTTTCTAAATTTGGGCCCAACTTTTGGTTTAAGGGACTCTTTTCTTGACTTGGAATATACCCCCCTCCCCGCCTTGGTAGCTTCTGGATCCGCCACTGTAGCTACTAATGGAACTTTCAAAACCGGGACAGGATGATATTTAAAGTTCTGAATGTTTAATTCATAACTCAAGAAAACAGTTAGTCAGTTCATCAAAAGGAGTAGGCTATCATAATTTCAAAATGACATCACAAAGAGTAGTCCAGTTAGTACGTCTTGGGCGTATGCAGTATGGTATTACTTTAAACATACAAAATTCACTTGTACAAAGACACCTGGAAACAAACGAGCAATCAGCTTTAGGCAAGTCTAATGAACTTCTGCAACAATTAAAGCTAAAAAATGAACATGATGAAATATTGGACAAATTGATTCTAGTTGAACATGAACCAGTGTACACAATAGGAAAAAGAACTAAGGAGTATACCCTTGAGGAAAGACAAAGACTTGAAGCTTTAGGAGCAGATTTCTACAAGACTAATCGTGGGGGTTTGATCACATACCTTGTTCCAGGACAACTAGTGGCATATCCTATTCTCAACCTGGCTAACTATAAACCCAGTATTAAATGGTAAGACCTTTTAGTGATCTTTTCAGCATAGATGTTATACTTATAACTGACGTTATACTCTCTAGAGGTTTCTAGAATTATTCAATGGCCGAGGCTGAAAAACCATCCGGGCCCAGAGAGAAAGAGAGAGAATAGGTAAAATTGCTTCCTTATTTTGACAAAAAGATTAATAACAAAGGATTTTGAGGTGTTACACAGGCACAAAATCCTTCATTTCAAAGCTTTTGGTAATAAATTACGGTTTTGTAATGAAGCAATCTAACCCTGCCACTGGGTAACAGGCACCATTGAGGAAGATCAAATAAAAAAAATTCACCCTGGTAAACAACTAAGCACCTAGAAATAAGTTAAAGCTACGTGTATGCCCACAGAACAAACAGTTAGAATTACAACATTCAAATTTAAAATTATGTACATTAAACAATTTGGATAAAGGGAAAAAGATCAACTTCCATGACGGTCCTGACTTTTATCGAAAAGGTTAAAAAAGCATTGGTGGTGTCTTGATCCTATTAAGTAAACTTGAATTTTATAGTATTCTTGGTGTTGCACCCAATTTGATTATCGGCTATTTTACTCAAAGAATTCAGAAAACGTCATACAAAAATACTTTATCAGACTCTACATTGATCTATTGTGGGATCCCTCAGGGGTCAATTTTCGGACATTTGTTCTTTATCTTATACATACATGATATATATATATTTCCTCTCCACGACTGATTCTATGCTATTGGCGGCGGATAATCCAATTTACTGATTAAAGGGAAATATCTACATGACCCTGCAGTTCTTCTCAATACTGAATTACTGAATCGAAATGCGTTGGGCCTATTACAGTTCATTATTGCAAAACAATATATTTGCAGGTTGTTGTCGTTAGTCATGGAACACAAAGGGGTAAAAGAAAGTGCGTTAGTTCTAGCTTAATATTTAATGTGTGTCAACACTCTATCTTTCAGAGCTTACTTTTCACCGTGATTTCACGACTTATCCAAATCCCTATAAGTATTTTGGGGATCGTATCTTAATTAATCAGATGTCTTTATCATTGACTTTTCATCATCACAAATTCTACTTGAATATCAATTTGGAAGTTCACATGTATATGGTATACATCAGTTAAATATTATAAGGCTTCTTCTTTATCTGATGCTGGTAAACAATATGTGGTAATATAAGTGATGTAATTTTATTATATTTCAGGTATATGGACTCATTAACAGATGCCATAATAAACACTTGTAGACAGTTTAACATAGAGGCTTCCTCTTCATCTGATGTTGGAGTTTGGGTTGGGAACAATAAGATATGTGCAATGGGTAGGTAATGGGTACTTCTATTTAATTTGGCGGACCCACCAAATTAATAATATGAGAATATTTGATAAATTATGCTTTATGATTTAAAAGAATAGCACAAATCTTCATAATCAAGGAATGAATTAATGAATTACGAATGAATATTTGATCAATATTTCACAAAGGGAATTAATTCTTCATAGCTGACTTCTCTGAAGACGAGTTGGTTTCCAACAAACCACCATTTTGGCACGATGCGTCTTATTAGTGTACTTAACTTTTAGCATTTTTCCAGTTGCCTTGAACTGCAACACTGACATGGTTTAATCATAGTGTACCTTGTATTTCCATGTGTACATGCCATGCCAGGTTCATCACTTGTTTATACATAAAGGACCTTATACACCCTCCATTGGGATCTCCCCATAGGAAAAAATAATTCATCTGATTTTTCAAAATGAGTATTCTGCTTCAATTATTACATTTATATGCACACTAGTATCTTGTTTACCTATATTCAGCACTGTATTGATGTATAGGCCACTTATTAGGGTCATAATTCAATCATAAAGTGTAGAGGCATAGATTCCAAACCAGGAAGTATTTTTGTGTCTGTCAAAATCCATTTACATCCTACGCATCCCTGCATCTTATCCAAATATGTTACTACATAATGAAATATAATAGTATAATCTTTGGTTTTACAAACTTGTATGATATTTGATAAGTGTAAAGTTGTTTTTGGAGCATTTTTCGATAGCCATTTTGTAGGGAAAAAAATGATGAAAAAATGTACAATCTTATAATTTTACGTATGACATGTATGACCTGAATCGATTGCAAACTTCATATTTGCACATTTGATGAGATAAACCATTTGTGTCGTATTGTGAAATTATTAGACTCCAGATTGAAAATCTGGAGTCTATTGTTTTTGCCTGTTTTCTTTTTATTAGACTCCAGATGAAATCTGGAGTCTATTGTTTTCGTCAGTTTTCTTATTATTCTTTTTCTTCTTATTATTAGACTCCAGATGTCAATCTGGAGTCTATTGTTTTTGCCAGTATTCTTCTTCTTCTTCTTATTATTTTTCTTTAAGAGTTTTTTCAATAACTATAAGGTATCCAGTAAAGACCATTATACAGTTCATTTCGGTTCAGTATCTAGTTGGTGGGAAATTGGGTCAAATTTTTATCTAGGTCAAAGGTCAAGAACTAGGTCAAATCCAGTACTTTGTCACTTTTTTCGATTTCCTCGGTCGTCCTTCAATATTTTTGATCCGTTTTTTTTTCATTGTGTTCCTCATAAAAAAGTAGAAAATCTAGGATCGATTTAGTTTTTTGGTATCTCAAACCGATTTCGAGATATCAGTGTCCGAAAACGAGGTCCAAAAAAAAGTTCTCCGAATCCAATGTCCAGAATATCAGTCTTATAGGAGATTTTCTCAGGATTCCGAATCTGAAAACCAAATTTCGATTTGACTTCCGGTTCAGAAGTTATGGCGTTTTGAAAATTCAAAAATCGCTAAATTTGGTGCCCCATGTTAATTCAATGGGAAAAAATATTTTTTTGAAGTGTAAAATACGAGATACAGACTAAGCACAGCTAAACATAATGGAAGCCCATAAAAGAAAGGGACCTCAAAACCTTCTTTTCATAAAAATTTGGACACCAAAAAGCCTAGGTCAAAATCTAGGTCAAATTCAAAGTTTTTCCTTATTTTTGCGATTCTGACACTACAGATTAAATATATTCTCCAAAATTTTGTATACATGTAGCCAAGAGTGTGCTAATAGTGTTAGCCTTTTGCCGTCAGAAAGTATTTTGCCCCACTTTTGAGATATGGTGTCCGAAAAGTAGGTCAAAATAAAAAATTCTCCAAATTTAACGTTCGAGTTATGAATTAAGTATAGAATTTTCTCAGGAATCCGAATCTGCAAATCAAATTTCGATCCGACTTCCTGTTCGGAAGTTATGACATTTTGAAAGCTCAAAAATCGCTAAATTTGGTGCCCCATGTTATGTCAATGGGAAAAAAGATTTTTTTGAAGTGTAAAATTCGAGATATAGACTAAGTACAGCTTAAAATAATGAAAGCCTATGAAAGAAGGGGACCTCGAAGGCTACCTAACTTCAAAATTTGGACACCAAAATCCCCAGGTCAAAATCTAGGTCAAATTCATAGTTTTTCCTTATTTTTGCGATTCTGACACTATGTTTAAATAATTTGCTTCAAAATTTTGTATACAGGTAGGAAAAAGTGTGCTTATAGTGTTAGCCTTTTGCCGTCAGAAAGTATTTCTACCCACTTTTGAGATATGGTGTCCGAAAAGTAGGTCAAAATAAAAAGTTCTCCAAATTGAACATATGAGTTATGAATTAAGGGTAGAATTTTCTCAGGAATCCGAGTCTGCAAACCAAATTTCGATCCGACTTCCGATTCGAAAGTTATGGCGTTTTGAAATTTCGAGAAAAATTGATCTGATGGTATCCTGATAGAAAGTCAAGAGTAGAGAAGAAAATATTGAAAAATGCATCCATCCTTCCTTTGTGATCCTATCGTATCCTTCTTATCTACCTTTCCTTCATATCCTCTCCTTCCTATTCTATTCCTTCTTCATATTCTATTCTATCATTCTTTCTTATTCTATCCTATCGTTCCTTCCTATTCTAGCCTATCCTTCCTTCCTTTTTCATCCATCCATCCATCCATCCATCTTTTTCTGGATGACTCAGCTTATTTTGGATGACTCGGCTTATTCAGGATGACTCGGCCAAAAAAAGTCTAGATCTGGAGTCTGAAATTGAACTTCGTTCAATTTCCAAAGTCTAGTTATTATTCTAAGCAAGTTTTCTCAATAACCGTAAGGTTTTCAGTAAAGTCAGTCATTTGGTCAATTTAGGTCCAGAATCTAGTTCCTCGGAAATTGGGTCAAATTTTTATCTAGGTCAAAAGTCAAGAACTAGGTCAAATCCAGTACTTTGTCACTTTTTTCGATTTTCTCGGTCGTCCTTCAATATTTTTGATCCGGGTTTTTTTCATTGTGTTCCTTATAAAAAAGTAGGAAACCTAAGGTCGATTTAGTTTTTTGATATCTCAAACCGATTTCGAGATATCAGTGTCCGAAAACGAGGTCCAAAAAAAAATTCTCCGAATCAAATGTCCATGATATTTATCTTATAGGAAATTTTCTCAGGATTCCGAATCTGAAAACGAAATTTCGATCCGACTTCCGGTTCGGAAGTTATGGCGTTTTGAAAACTCAAAAATCGCTAAATTTGGTGCCCATGTTAAGTCAATGGGAAAAAATATTTTTTTGAAGTGAAAAATACGGAAAAAAGACTGAGTTCAGCTTCATATAATCAAAGCCTTTAGTAGAAGGGGACCTCAAAAGCCATCTAGCTTTAAAATTTGGACACCGAAATGCCTAGGTCAAAATCTAGGTCAAATTCATAGGTTTTCCTTATTTTTTCGATTCTGACACTACACTCTAATTATATTCTTCGAAATTGTGTATACATGTAGCCAAGAATATGCTAATAGTGTTAGCCTTTTGCCGTCAGAAAGTATTTTGACCCACTTTTGAGATATGGTGTCAGAAAAGTAGGTCTAAATAAAAAGTTCTCCAAATTTAATATATGAGTTATGAATTAAGGGTAGAATTCTGTCAGGAATCCGAATCTGCAAACCAAATTTCGATCCGACTTCCGGTTCGGAAGTTATGGCGTGTCCGAAAAGTAGGTCAAAATAAAAAAGCTCCAAATTTAACGTATGAGTTATGAATTAGGGGTAGAATTTTGTCAGGAATCCGAATCTTTCAATCGAATTTCGATCCGACTTCCTGTTCGGAAGTTATGGCGTTTTGAAATTTCGGAAAATCGATCTGATGGTATCCTGATAGAAAGTCAAGAGTAGAGAAGAAAATGTTGAAAAATTCACCCATCCTTCCTATCTGATCTTATCCTATCCTTCCTTTCTATCCTTCTTCGTATCTTTTCTATCCTTTCTTCGTATCTTTTCCTTCCTATCCTTCCTATCCTATCCTATCCTTTCTTCCTATTCTATTCTATCCTATCCTTCTTTCTTATTCTATCCTATCGTTCTTTCCTATTCTATCCTATCCCACCTTCCTATTTTATTTATCCATCTCTTTGTAGATGACTCAGCTTATTCTGGATGACTCGGCTTATTCTGGATGACTCGGCTAAAAAAGTCTAGATCTGGAGTCTGAAATTGAACTTCGTTCAATTTCCAAAATCTAGTTATTCTTCTTCTTTTTTCTTTCTTCCTCCTAACAGATTTTCTCTCCAACTATAACATCTTACTTAATCCAACTTACATGGCTAACTAAAGACTGTATCCGGCTTTCTGGGAAATTAGGTCAAATTTTTATCTAGGTCAAAGGTCAAGAACTAGGTCAAATCTTACATTTTCAACATTCTTCATCATATCTTCGTCAATATTCATCGTAACTCCTTCATCTTTTTTTCATCATGTAGCTTAGAAAAAGGCAAATCAAAGATATGACATCAGAATTTTGATTACCGATTTTGAGATATGGCGTCCGGAAAGTAGGTCAGAACAAAAAGTTCTCCAAATTCAACATGTGAGTTATGAAATAAGTGTAGGATGATCTCAGGAATCCGAATCTGCAAACCAAATTTGAATCGGACTTCCGGTTCGGAAGTTGTGGCGTTTTGAAAGCTCAAAAATCGCTAAATTTGGTGCCTATGTTAAGTCAATGGGAAAAAAGACTTTTTCGAAGTGTAAAATACAAGATATAGACTGAGTACAGCTTAACATAATTAATGCTTATAAAAGAAGGGGACCTCAAAAGCTACATAGCTTCAAAATTTGGACAACAAAATGCCTAGGTCAAAATCTAGGTCAAATTCATAGTTTTTCCTTATTTTTACGATTCTGACACTACACTTTAATAATTTACTTCAAAATTTTGTATACAGGTAGCAAAGAGTGTGCTAATAGTGTTAGCCTTTTGCCGTCGGAAAGTATTTTGACCCACTTTTGAGATATGGTGTCCAAAAAGTAGGTCAAAATAAAAAGTTCTCCAAATTAAACATATGAGCTATGATTTAAGGGAAGAATTTTCCCAGGAATCCGAATCTGCAAACCAAATTTCAATCTGACTTTCGGTTCGGAAGTTATGGCGTTTTGAAAGCTCAAAAATCGCTAAATTTGGTGCCCCATGTTATGTCAATGAGAAAAAAGATTTTTTTGAAGTGTAAAATACCAGATATAAACTGAGTACAGCTTAACATTCTGAAAGCCTATAAAAGAAGGGGACCTCGAAGGCTATTTAGCTTTAAAATTTGGACACCAAAATGCCTAGGTCAAAATCTAGGTCAAATTCATAGTTTTTCCTTATTTTTTGCGATTCTGACATTACACTTTAATGATTTGCTTCGAAATTTTGTATACAGGTAGCCAAGAGTGTGCTTATAGTGTAAGCCTTTTGCCGCCAGAAGGTATTTTGACCCACTTTTGAGATATGGTGTCTGAAAAGTAGGTCAAAATAAAAAGTTCTCCAAATTTAACGTAGGAGTTATGACTTAAGGGTAGAATTTTCTCAGGAATCAGAATCTTTAAACCAAATTTCGATCCAACTTCTGATTAGATAGTTATAGCGGTTTGAAGTCTCGAAAAGTCGATATGATGGTATCCCCATGTTAAGCCAATGGAGTCGAAGTTAACATTCTTAAGAGTTCTCTAAATGTCTATATTCTAGCTGACTCAGCTTATTCTGAATGACTCAGTTTACAAGTATTTGGATGACCCAGCTTAGAAAAAGTCTGAAATCTGGAGTCTTAAATTGAACTTGTTCAATTTACATGTCTAGTTAAGTTTGCAATCGATTCAGGTCATAGTGTATTTTTGGTATTTCTGTGATAATCAATGGAAACCAATGGCCTCTATTGGGATCTGCTGATATCCTCATGTTAAGTCAATCGTGCACAGCCCCATGTAAGTCAATACAACCTTACTGAACGAAATGATCCCTATCTCAGCTTATGTGTGTCCGAGCACTTTAATATTTTCCTATGTATTATATGACATTTTATTCTTCATGTTACACCTACGAATGATTCATTTTGTCCATAGGGATATTTGCCAATAATTGCACCTTGTCCTTTATTCCTTTGGTTAACAATAATAGACATGCGATTGATTGCCAAAGTTTTATAAAAAACTTTAGCGGCAATTTTAGACAATATGAATAGGAATGCATTAACATTTACAAACTGATCAAAGTAATGTTATAACTCATATAAGAAACAATAATCCCACGGGCCAGGGATGAGTTAACACATGCATGCAAAAATTAGCCAAACCGATCAATTTGGCTCAAACTTTGATTCACAAAATGACTCATTAGTTCTATTAATTTTTCATTTAATGAATTATCTAAATCTTCATCACCATACAAAGGAAACTGAATTTTGTCAACTGTGTTCAAACTCTGAACCAAAAGATGAAGATCTAAAGGTTCATCACTATGCATGGAATTGTCTTGAATTGCAACACCGATATGACATGGTTTAATCATATTGTACCTTGTATTTCCAGGTGTACATGCCAGTAGGTTCATCACTATGCATGGAATTGCCTTGAATTTCAACACTGACATGACATGGTTTAATCATAGTGTACCTTGTATTTCCAGGTGTACATGCCAGTAGGTTCATCACTATGCATGGAATTGCCTTGAATTGCAACACTGACATGGTTTAATCATAGTGTACCTTGTATTTCCAGGTGTACATGCCAGTAGGTTCATCACTATGCATGGAATTGCCTTGAATTGCAATACTGACATGACATGGTTTAAGCATATTGTACCTTGTATTCCCAGGTGTACATGCCAGTAGGTTCATCACTATGCATGGAATTGCCTTGAATTTCAACACTGACATGACATGGTTTAATCACATTGTACCTTGTATTTCCAGGTGTACATGCCAGTAGGTTCATCACTATGCATGGAATTGCCTTGAATTGCAACACTGACATGGTTTAATCATATTGTACCTTGTATTTCCAGGTGTACATGCCAGTAGGTTCATCACTATGCATGGAATTGCCTTGAACTGCAACACTGACATGACATCGTTTAAGCATATTGTTAGTACCTCAGTGTAAATACTCGCATCTGATTGGTCAATTAGCGGTCAACATTTTTGCCTGTACCTCACTTGTGCATCATGGGATATCATATTATTGACCGCGTATGTTACTGTACTACACTTGTGAATTATGGGAAATATGACGTCATAATGTTTACAGAAAAAACATGGTAGATGGACATTTTGTAAACGTTGATGCACGGACCTGAAGAAAGTAAAGTCAGTGGTTGATGAAAGTGATATTTTGACTTTACTAGTCGACAAGTATAGCAAAAATACGAATAGAAACGTAAAATTAACATTTCTTTACTACAGTCTGTTACACTGCTTCAAAGGCAAGCAGTTGAACCTGAAAATTAAGAAATCTATAGATCATTGTGCCATAATATATAGAAAAATATATTCATATTGCACACGAATGACATTTGTATATTTCAGATTATTCAGTGTTTAGTGCAATAAGCCTGTGCCCTCTTGTAATTTTAGGTCTGTCCGCCATGCTATTTTTTTGAGAATTAACATGGTAGAGAAGCATCAAAATATAAGAGGTTACAGAGTTTATGAGCCAATTTACAAGCAATCCAACATATACAAATGTCATTCGTGTGCAATATGAATATATTTTTCTATATATTATTGCACAATATTATTTAGATTTCTTATATTTCAGGTTTAACTGCTTGCCTTTGAAGCAGTGTAACAGACTGTAGTGAGTTTGCAGTGATGTTCCGAAAACAAGAGAGTTTAACTAATATCGCTAGCGTGGTTCGGAGAAAAGATTGTGAAATGAAGCCATATGATTGATGATTGTCGTCTGTATGTGTATTATTAGTTTCTTCTGACTAACAAAACAATTGTAGACCTCTCCATTCGGTCAACCGTCGAAATCATATACCTCGACTGTAAACCTTGAAACTACTGTTGACCTCGACCTTCGGTCTCTGTCAACAGTAGTTTCTCGGTTTACAGTCTCGGTATACAATTTTGCCGGTTGACCTCTGGTGAGGTCAACAATTGTATACTGTACCTTGTTTTTCATGGTGTACATGCCAGTAGGTTCATCACTATGCATGGAATTGCCTTGAATTTCAACACTGACATGACATGGTTTAATCACATTGTACCTTGTATTTCCAGGTGTACATGCCAGTAGGTTCATCACTATGCATGGAATTGCCCTGAATTGCAACACTGACATGACATGGTTTAATCATATTGTACCTTGTATTTCCAGGTGTACATGCCAGTAGGTTCATCACTATGCATGGAATTGCCCTGAATTGCAACACTGACATGTCATGGTTTAATCATAGTGTACCATGTATTTCCAGGTGTACATGCCAGTAGGTTCATCACTATGCATGGAATTGCCTTGAATTGCAACACTGACATGTCATGGTTTAATCATATTGTACCTTGTATTTCTAGGTGTACATGCCAGTAGATTCATCACTATGCATGGAATTGCCTTGAACTGCAACACTGACATGACATGGTTTAAGCATATTGTACCATGTATTTCCAGGTGTACATGCCAGTAGGTTCATCACTATGCATGGAATTGCCTTGAATTTAAACACTGACATGACAAGGTTTAATCATATTGTACCTTATATTTCCAGGTGTACATGCCAGTAAGTTCATCACTATGCGTGGAATTGCCTTGAATTGCAACACTGACTTGACATGGTTTAATCATATTGTACCTTATATTTCCAGGTGTACATGCCAGTAGGTTCATCACTATGCATGGAATTGCCTTGAATTGCAACACTGACATGACATGGTTTAATCATATTGTACCTTGTATTTCCAGGTGTACATGCCAGTAGGTTCATCACTATGCGTGGAATTGCCTTCAATTGCAACATTGACATGACATGGTTCAATCATATTGTACCTTGTATTTCCAGGTGTACATGCCAGTAGGTTCATCACTATGCATTGAATTGCCTTGAATTGCAACACAGACATGACACAGTTTGATCATATTATACCTTGTATTTCCAGGTGTACATGCCAGTAGGTTCATCACTATGCATGGAATTGCCTTGAATTACAACACAGACATGACACGGTTTGATCATATTGTACCTTGTATTTTCAGGTGTACATGCCAGTAGGTTCATCACTATGCATGGAATTGCCTTGAATTGCAACACCGACATGACATGGTTCGAGCATATTGTACCATGTGGCCTTGTTGGTAAGGGGGTGACATCTATCAGTCAGGAACTGAATCAAAATGTGACAATCGATGATGCAGAAGGTCCTTTTCTCAAATCGTTTTCAGATTTCTTTAAATGTGAGATTGTTGAAATATAAGTTCACTATTGAAATACAAATTCACTATTACATTAGAGTAGGCCTATGTGATTGTTGTTGTATTGGATTTAGGCTAGAACTGGAAAATCTAACTTTGTTAGAAGATCACAATCCATATCCAATGCTGACTTTGATCCCTGATATTGATGCCAATATGATGATTTATCCGATGCCAAGTAGAGTTTTAGGGAGATAAGTTGATAAGATATATCCCGTATCCTGATTTTGAGGTTTTCATATCCTGAACCTCCATATCTCCCGCTCCAGGGCATATCTTCCAGCTTCGAAAAAATAGAAAAAATAAGTAAAACTTGAAAAAATTAAAAATTGAAAAAAAGAAAAAAAATAGAAAAATTTGAAAAGAAATTAGAAAAATGAAAAAATTGAAAAAATAAAAATATTGAAAGAAAATTAGAAAACTCTACTTGGTATAGGATAAAGCAGGTATGTACGGTCGGTTTGGATATTGGGTTCATCCCTCTGGATAAACCCCATATCCCAAACCTCCCAGTACATAACCCTTATATATTGTCGATTTGACATTGATGCTGGTATGATGTATTGATGCTAATATCATATTTAAGCTGATGTCGAATATTGATGCTGGTGTTAAATCGATGCTGACAATGTGATCTGATAATATGTTGAGGTTGATGATGTTAGGAAGACAATGCTTATTGTGCTCAATTCTAGAATTAAAACAATAAACTGGGACACCATATTTTATTTTTACTACTTATTCCTGAATTATTTAAGGATTTAAGCCCTTGACTCAGTGCATTGATTGCAAAACTTTGCATGACCGCGCAGCGGGAATGCAAAGTTAAGGAAACAACCCCTGAGTGGAATGAAGCAGCTACAATGCATTGAGTCTTGGGTTTAAATTCTTTTCACACATTGCAACTTTTTCTTCAAAATCATCCAAAAGAAACGAAATCACTAAAAGAACACATTTCAATTAAATTTTCGATTTAATTATTAGATTATTAAAATTGAATATATTTATGTATCAAATTTTAATACATTTAAAAATCGATAGGCAATTACGCAATTCCAAATTATTGAATTTTAAAACATTTCAAAATTAATAGGCGATTTCGTAATTCCACATTGACGTATTTTCTATGCGCTACACCCTGCAACAGCGTTATTGCTGTTCGTACAGATCCATTGTAGATAGGTGGCTGTTCTGACGTACACGCTTGGCATACCAATACACCCAACAACACCCCAGCTGGTAATCCCAGCGACCACATTTTGACCATTCAGATCACAGCTCATTGGGCCGCCACTATCACCCTGTGAATTAATACAAATATTCAATATCACTATTCAGTGGCCAGGTTTTCAGGTTTAGCGGTTTTATTTCATGTTGAACTCTTTTTTGCAACCGTTTTGAAAGAATAAAAGAAATGGCCTGGTCGCTGAATCATTAGGGAGTTTAAGCTTGCATATAAAATCGAAACGCCAACCTATACGTATGACCAATCGCCCATACATATGCATCGCTTAAATATTTCTGTTGACGCTTAGGTTGTGAAAAACATTGCATGCTTAAACTCCCTAATTTCTCCGAAATACGGTCAATTGACCACATAAGGGCCCTACCTGACAAGATCCCTGTCTGCCAGTTTCATCATATATACATATATGTAAATCGGCATTAGCTTGTGCCCAAAAGCTGGTACATTCTTCTGGTGATAGTATAGGGAGGGTGGCCTTCTTCAAGATATCAGCTGCTGTCCCATCTACAATAAAACCAAAATTGTAAAATAACATCACAAAAACAATATTCTCCGTACGACATACATTTTAATAACTTAAACCAATTTTCTGTCAAATCTTTGAAGAAATGAAACGTCATGATCTATAATGATGCCGTACATACAGTATAATTAACGCCCGTGGGCTCTTTGAAGGATGATTCTGAAAACAGAATCTCTGGTCTCTTTGACATAGTTAGCCATTGGGTGTTACCCCAGACATAAGTCAGGCAAGACATTTTACAGAAATATATTTTAGACGTAGTTTTAACCTACTGTAGGTTTAACAAAAAATGCGGAAATGAAATCCACATACCTCCTCACCACTATATTTGCTCACTCGTTAATTTTTGCCTCGCAATTTTTGATCCTGTTTGCCATGCTTACTTTATTTTATACCTCTATCCTTGACCGAGGCTGTGTCTTTTTTCACAGTATATGATTTAGCCTTGCCCAAGTCGGTTTCTTTTACTTATCTTGCATTGATTTCTATGATGGCGGTAATAATTCAAGATCAGATAAGTAAAAAATACAGACTTGGGCAAGGCTATATATAATTGAAATCCAGATAAATAAATAAATAAATAAGGGTTATGTACTGGGAGGTTTTGGATATGGGGTTTATCCAGAGGGAGATATGCATATCTACCTGAGGGACCGTAGGGACCGAAGGTAGATGTGCATACGAGGGATGAACCAAATATCCAAACCGACCGTACATAACTGCTTTATCCTATACCAAGTAGAGTTTTCAGGGGCATGTGGCCATTTCAATAGTACAAGGTGTAAAAATAAACAAATCATTCATATGCAAAGTCATTTTATTGCATTTCCACTACTTACCGGAAGCGGGAAGATATGCACGGAAGCGGGAAGATATTCACCGAAGCGGGAGATATGGAGGTACTGGATATGGAAACCTCAAAATCAGGATACGGGATATATCTTACCAACTTATCTCCCTAAAACTCTACTTGGCATAGGATAAAAGATAATATTATATATGTCAATACTTTGACAAGGCTATTCATACCTCCAGCTGATGTGTCTCCCCATCCAGTAATGATGCACCTTTGGCCAGCAAACGTCGTCTGGTTGTTTGGAGGGAGAGGAACAACGGCTTTTGTGGCTGCATCAATAGTGATTGGGCTGGAGAGATTAAGGAGTGCGATATCATTGGGGAATCCTACTGAGCCATCTTGGATGAAGTCCTCATGCTGAAATGTAATGAAATGGAATACTATGTATATAGTACAACTTTGAATTATACATTTTAGATCAGATTGTTCATTTGATATTAAGGTCCTGATTTCAATACACTGAGTCACACGATTTGCCTTATCCTCCGAACGCAGGGATCCAGACATCATCCACTACGTTCCTTCCTTCCTCCTTTAGAAGGAGGTACGAGTTCAGGAGGTCTGTGTTCGGAGGATGATGTTGGCCATGCCTCAAACAAAGTTAAATAAATTATTTTACGGGATTGATGAACAATTTCACGACCCATCGTGTATGAAATAGTATGACATTCAACTTTAGTATTATTTGTATATAAATCTTAGATATTGCCCTTTAATCTCTAGTCGACGACAATACTCATTAAATTTAAAGTAGAATACGCAAGATTTCTAATATAGATTTTTCTATGTTGAGCAGTAGAGATCAGATCTGCGGATCTTCCAGACAAAATTTTCTGCAACCTTGACAAATCCGGTGACACCGCGCGCTCATGAACGACCTGTTCCACACCCGTGAATCTTCAAAAGGTATTACCTGTATAATGGAGCTCACAGGGATAACTTCTTCAACACCCGTGACGTCAACCCTATTCCTTATATGGGCGCCGGCCACTATCCTGTAATCCGTAGCAGCGCTGCAAATGTCAACGATAAATTAATTTACATCAATTGGAAGGGTATCCTATGATGTATGAGTACGGGATATCACTTTTATTCAACAAGTTAATCATAGTGAATATATTACGATCGGCCATACATCAAACTGCACTGATACTTTTGAATAACATAAACTTTTGAACATAGTCCATTTCAATTCTGAGTCATGCGTCGATAAAACATAAAGAAGCAATCAAAAGACCACAATGCATTATCGTATGGAAAAATACTTTCATATTTTACACGCAAAATATTGTATGTTGGACTATTTGTTTGGCTTAAACACGTGTGGGACATCCGACCCCCGTAGACGGTCTGCACTTTCATTCCCATAGTAGTGCAATACCCTGGAATCCTTGAAATCCATTAGCGCATTACAAGAGAGGTTAAGCTACACGTTTTTATAGGAACGTGTACGTCAACGTGTAATATCATTACTACCCCCCCCTCAATGGTTATTTTCCTGGGACCTCATTACAACTTTTTTCTTCATACCTTATACATTTAAACTTAATTGTGCAAGTAAATACCACAAAGGGGAGAACTGATCTCACGAAGACCATGATTTTACACGTTTACGAACAAAATCTCTTATAAACGTTTATTGATGCTATCTATCTATTACCCATTAACGCAATGTGCTGCTGTGAGGATAATGCTAGGATTAATCAAAACTGCGCCACAAGTATGTCTCCATCCATCAAAGAAATCATCTACCTGAAATAAAACACAAAATCGACATCATCAATGATTGCAGCAACGGAATGGAGAAACGTCGGCGATCTATGACGAGTTCGCAATTTTGACAGGCGCCAGGTGAAAATACGTTGCGCGTGATAATGTCGTGGGTGAAAAGTCATCGACAGAGATAAATCATCGTAGAAGATCTCATTGTCCTGCGATCGGAACTTATTACAGTCAGCCGAAGCTTTTGACACGCCTACATCTACCATCTTATTCCGAGTTCTGGCCGTAACCACCAAATTCAGTGAAACACGAAAAACAAGGACATTTTAAAGTGAATTAGTATAAAGGAACAAATCTCAGAGTCATGGGGGTATGTTTAACAAATCGTTTGCTCTTTCATTCGATTGGTCTGACCCGGCGCGTCATTGCTACTTGGGTCCATCGCGAGAGAATGATTGCAGTTATAGACGTCGATCAGGGACGTGAACTGCAGTTATGGTCAGGTTAACAAATATAGATAACATTTGCTCAGATTTTTAACATCAGGTTCTGTCTGCGTTAAAATGGGATCTGGGTGGAAACAAAAATATATTCGTAGATCGTTTCGGGTAAGGATCTTCCGGATAATTGCGTTTGCACATATATACTTACTTGAAGTGAAAGCTGGTACGGGAACTCGTGTTGTTCACATCTGTCGCCATTCACAATGCTTGGGACAGGTTCATATAAGGCAGCGATTGGGTCGGAGGGCGCCCCTTGCACTGGAAACAAATAAAACGCGTGAATAATATGTTTCACCTGGTTCTATAAACAGACGATTCCAATGAACCCTGCCATCTCTTTGCACACCAAGAAACCCAACATTTATTGGTTAGATATCATAGGTCTTATATCACCAATAAAAAATAGGATTTATATATTGCTAGTTTTGAACGTTTTCTTCACCACAAAAAATGTAACATATTACGTCGAACACACCAAACGCTGGTCACAAAAACGTTGTTAAAGCAATCACCCCTACTCTTGGTATAGTAACTACATTTCAAAATGGCGTTAAAACAAAACATGTTCTCGGTTTTATAATAGTATTGGAATGAAAATGGAACTCTTAAGATTTATGTGTAATTTAAAAAAATTTGAATATAAGAAATTATGAACGTTTACCTGCTAGCACAAACGATAACAGGATCACAAACATTGTGCGTTCGTTGATAAAAAGAATGAGAATGAACGGCTCATGCGTTTTAACCTCGTACACTATTATGAGAAAGAACAGGTTTTTACAATTTGTTAAGTTGAAGGAGTGTTAAAACATCCGCCATTTTTATCACACTCGAATCATTTTGTAATAATTAAGTATTAATTATTAATCATACGAGATCTAAGTACAAAGTAGGTATCAGAAAGACGCTATAATCAACTCCCATAAACAATATCAAATCATCGAACTAAAAAGGTAAAAAGGCTTGGCCTATTTCAGAACATTACATGCTGTTTATAAAGTTTCTTTGAAAAATAAAACAAATAAAACGGACTAATATTATAAGAAAAAAAAAATATAACATGGGTATGTGGTACCATGAGCGCAGAGTTTAGTTACATAAAGACGAAGCTCTCTTTTGTGAAGCGAAGTCAAACGAATGCAAAGGGTATATATATCAACGTCAACAAGGATCATTTTGTTGTTTATGCTATGTTAACTTATGAGAGTCGAATGTTTTGAATACAAAATAGGATGATGATGCAAATACAGGGTGACACATAAACACCAGCCACTAATTTTGATATAACTCTCTCAGTAATTACGGAATCTTTATGATTTTGTATTTGTAGATATACCGTAAATGCCCAATGGAAAAAAGATTGGAATGCTTGCCTAGCATCAACAACTTAAAAATTAAGAGATATCTAATTTTCCGTGTAGGCATGCTCTGACACAAAATCACTCAAAACTGTAAATAAGAAAATCTGTACTTTTTAAAATTTACCCGATAAGCGAGTCAGTTGGTCAAATTTGACAAAATTATTTATGAAAAGCGGATATTTATTACAAACTATTGATACTATTTGTGTGAAGTAGTGAAAGCAATCCAGAAATGACTAGAATAATCGGAAAGACTGAAATCTCGATTTCAGAAAATTTAATTTTTTACATTTTTTGACCATGCCTGGACATAAAACGTGATATCTCTTTTGAAAGTTGTTGATGCTATCCAAGTACAACAATCTTTTGTCCATTGATCACTTATCTACACAAGAAAATACATAGATTCCGAAATTAGTGGGTGTTTTTGTGTCACCCTGTAAAACATAAATATGTGACATAATCAGGTGTCTTGGTGATGTAAATACCTGTATGTTTTATGATATTGACATGGTTTTATTATGTGTTTCTATGTCACACCCTCCTTGGTGCACAGTAAAACAGTCACGTTATCATACTCCCCTTAGGTTTAAGTTTCCCTACATGTGAATAAACGTGTATTTTGTTTTTCTATCCTTCAGAGAGATGAAGAGTTAAACATTCCATGTGTTCATTTGAGTGACTCCTAGTTCACTTTCTAGATCAGTTTGTCCTAATTACATATGTTACGTATGTCATCTATCTGATGATACTAGATCGCAATGGTAACCAACTAAATCAGAGAATATTTCTCGCTAGTTAACAGGGGCTGTACCAAATTAAGTGTGACAGTTAACGTGCAGGGTAATGTCTTGGTCACATTTAATTGCTCCGATTTTCACTACGGCGCCCGGTCGATTGATTATTTTGTTCAGAATTGAATACAATATTGAGCAAAACACTCAATCGGCCGGGCTCCGGCCGATGGATCGGAGCAAATGTGACCCAGGCATTAGGTACATACACGAGGGCGATGAAGATTTGGAAACAACACCTTCATGGTATGATTCACCAACAATGCAAACAGTGAGTCCAGAGCTTAAATCCTTAATCAAAATTCCATGTGTTGTACTTTACCATTACTCAGGCCCGTAGCCAGGAGGGGGGGGGGGGCTCGGGAGGCTCGTGCGAGCCCCCCTCCCAGATATCTCCTAAAATAATGTGGACCTACCTTTTTTGCTTTCTTGAAGAATTTCCTGACATTTCGAGGTAGAAGGTAACATTTGGTGACATATGTAGGGTGTATATTGATGTGATTGCCCCTTTGTTTTATAAAATTCTAGAATATAACTAGAATAGCGAGGCAACTAAATGATTCGAAAATTAATCATATATTTTGATCTTTTAATCGCTCAGAAGGTGCCAAATAAGCCTAAATATTCAATTTTTATTTAAATACATTAATTATATATTTTGATCCTCGAATTGCCCAGAACGCAAATCAGCCCAAAAATCTTCACTTTTTCAGGGGAGCATGGCCCTGATTTTTTAATAAATCATATATTATGGTCCTAGAATCGCCCAGAACGTGTCAAATACAGTAAGACTCACAATTCGATTTTTTAAAATACGTAAATCATATATTTTGATCCCTAGAACGACCAAAACGCATCAGAATCGCCCAGAATGCGCTAAAAAAGCCTAAAAATTCATTTTTAAATACGTAAATCATATGTTTTTATCCTAGAATCGCTCAGAATGCACCAGAATTGCCCAGAATGCGCCAAATAAGCCTAAAAATTCAATTTTTTAAATAAGTAAATCATTTATTTTGATCCTAGAATCGCCCAGAACGCACTACATGTAAATCAGCCCAAAACTCCTAAATTTTCCAGGAGAGCATGCCCTCTGGCTACATTACTCACAAGGTATTATTTTACAGGCCATGATAATTAGGCTCGAATTTTGTTCCGTCTAAATCAAATAACTAGTCATTTTTAACAACATTAGGGAATTATTGGGCATTTTTCAAAATTTGTGCCCTTATTTTCTTCTGAATAAGCGCGAAAATTTTGAGGTTCCCTCCCTTGTTTTCGTGGCCTCCCCTGGTGTCTTGTTAATAACACGTACCCTTTAGTGGTCACAATGTGAAGTTGGTTAAGCATGAAAACATTTTTGTGTGTGGATGGGGGGGGGGGGGAAGGGGTTCGATCCCCCCTAACCAAAACCTGGCTAAGGGCATGATTACTGGCATTATACCGTATACTACATTCGGAGTTTGTGTATGTATATGTGTAACTATGAAATTCACTGTCTAGGATTTTGCTACAGACATTTACTTACAAAAATATATAGAAACTGGACCAGATCTTTGGGAAACGATGAAAACATCGATTTGCTCAAATTTTATCACCCGCATGTTGTACCATACCCCGTGCGTTCAACTATGCGCTTGATTTGGTTCACGCCCCGAGTAGTCGAAGGCAGAAAGACGCGATGAGTATCAGAATGCCCCCTCCCCTTCGGTTCTTACAACTGACTACACTTGGGATTGTATTTCCCATGAATTATGTAATCATGGATCAGTGAATAATCAACCCCAATTACCATAATGATGAATCAAACTGCATACCTGTGATCAACCCTTGCAATTGCCTTGGTTTTTACAGTCGTGCGCCAAGCTCTGGATATTGGCGAATTCATCAGGGTGGTCCAAAAAAAAGTGAACCCCTGCAACTGGCCATATTTCCCTTATTACTTGCAGGAATTCTTTTTTATTTTCACATGTTGTAGAGGAAGGTCTAAAATTTATGTTGGTACCATACATTTTTCTTAGTCTTGAAATTTGCAGAAATTATAAGCCCTAACCAAACATTACTGAAAATGGACAAATTGTGATTTTCAATATTCGCGATTCTTCAACCCTTTAACACCTTTCCCTTGAGAATTTTTTAAGCTGCAATCTTAAAGAACTAATATTTTCTGACTTTGTTAAATTTTAAATCCTGCACATAATAGCTTAAAACTAGCATCCTACATTTGTTAGTTGCAAAGTTATTGTGATCCAAAGAGATGTGCTAAGCTTCCAAAGACAAAAACATTTTCCAGTGAAATCATGAACATACCCCTATATGATCTTGAAATGTCAATATCTTCACTAATCATGGACCAATTCTAATGATATATGGCTCAAAACATTGAATATTGGTTTTCTTTTGATATTTTAAAGATATTTGATGATCAGATTCCTGGTCACAGGGGGCAACTTCCTTCCATAAGAGGCCCCCCTCTAACAGGTACGAAAAATTTCGAACGTACATTTTTTTGCGGCGTTCGTATTTTTGCTGCGTAGACGATCTTTTTTAGAAATTTTTCTATAGAAATATTTTTGCTTGACAATTACCAGGTAAAATGCGTATTTGCGTGACATTTTCTGTCACGCAAAAATAACTGGCGTGACTTCAAATTCTTCAGCAAATGCGTGACAAATACGCAAATTGCGGGACAGTTGACAGGCCTGCATCCAATGTGTTTCAATAATTTCCGTGAATCACATTTGTAAAATTTTGTACAATATCTAATTTCCAGGCATGTTTGTTAAACGCTTGTAATTTCTTCAAAATTTAAGACTGAGAATAAATTAATCTCTACAACATGTGATAATATGATCCAATTCATGCATGTATTAAGAAAAATGTAGCCTGTTGCAGGGGTTCACTTTTTTTTGGACCACCCTGTAAATTATATAAGGAAAATATTTGCGAAGGTCGTAGTAAAGACGTTTTTTACATTATACAATATAATCTCGATGGGATACTATCACTACTTACTCAACCTTTTCTTGGAAATAAACGGCACCATAAACGTCGTCCTTTTATTTTGTAAACATATTATGATAAGTCGACATAGATTGCTGGTGATCACATACATTTTGTAAGGGTTAGTCATTGACTGAATAATGCCCCATGGTCAATGTAACCGACCTTGCAAATAAAACGGCGGCATTGTACACATCATTGCGGAAAAATAAACAAATGACAACATAAATAAAATCACTGACTTGGTAAGTTGAAATTTATGTAAGAAGATTTGAAAAAATTCCGGAAAATTGAGGAAAAAATAATAAAACGTACGTCGTACTTTTTGCAAGGGAATTGGTTTTCCCTCGGATAGGTTCAAACTGAGTTGTATTGAATCACCCCCATTGTGATTAGTCCACTTCCCATTTACCATTATATTTGTTACGGTTTTAAGTGCGAGGCACCTAACGGGGTAGTTTCGACATGGGGAAATATTATATTTAGTTGTATATTTGAAATTATCGGCAATCATCTTCGCTCAACTTTTTAGGTGAAGTATGGTTTGAACAATTTGAATCTAAGAATCACTATTGAAAATGTATTTGACAATATGTTTAATGTCATAACATTGGCTCACATCGCATTAAGCAACATATTTTGAAGAGCAATTTAGAATATCCTAACATATATTGTATTTACATATCTTTCGAGTTCTTGATTTCGTTTGTCCAAAAGAAAGATTCATCTGTAATCACCAGCGGATCTAGACGGGGGCGCGGGGGGCGCACGCCCCACTCCCCTAAAAAGTCGGAAAATTCGTGTTTTGCCTCATCGCTTTTTACAAAATTTGACTTCGCTCACAGTTATTATCACACGCCCCCCTAACACAAAATCCCGGATCCGCCCCTGGTAATGATGGTACTTTGATAGTTATTATTAGTGGTAGGTAACAGTAATTGAGCCTTTAGGAATGTGTTCCGATCTTGAAATCAGTGGTAACATGAATTGGGTTCAAATAATGCATAATAAAAACTAAAAGGAAATCATTTGACCCAGTTATATTATACGCTCTCATAAATTGAACAAATAAGCCCGGTGTAAAAGGGTAGGAGGTCCTATCAAATTAGGGTCCTACTTTCCATTCATTTATATGGTGACCTAAATACAACTCTTTCCCTTATTATCGTATCCACAATCAGGGCCAGTAAGGGCCTTTAAGAAAGAGGACCATAATCCACAGGGACCATAATTTCTTTTACACCGGATTGCTCAAGGGATTGCTACTCAATCATAAAAATTAAACGCAGGTATTAGAGGTACCCCCGTCGGGTGCCTCGATGAGTCAACTATTCAACTTCTAAATTATTTCGCACGCCGAAGTATGCACTTATTTCAATATTGAAACAGAGGACGGCGAGAAAGCAAGTTTGTTGACAAACGATTGAAAGTCTCAAACACAGAATTCACGACACACGCACACACATGCTATTTATTGGTGCCATTACATATATGTTTTAGCAAGGCGTACAATTGAATGGTGACAACAATTCATAATTTTTAGTTTGGATTTCTTAGTAACTCCGCATTTTCGGAAACGCCAAAATGAGTGAGAAATATGTAAGTACTGAACTGTATTACCATTGTATGTATTATTGTTTTGTTATCATTCAGTTTTTCCTATAAAAATTAATTTTCAGAAAATAAGGACATGTTCATCGTAAGTAAGTTTTACTTGTTGAAGTGGTCGAATGGGGAGGGGAGGGAGGGGTAACTTTTAAACAAACTTCAATTTTAGAAATTATAGTGGGCAACTTGGAAAATAGTAAATACATTCCCTAAAAAGATGACAAAACTGGAAAACTGAACGAAATGTCGTTATTGTCTGACATTAGTAACTGGCTATAAATTCCAAGTTAGCGATCCAGAAGATGTCAACCAATACAACGATCATGTCAGTTTCTTTCAATTTCAGCCGAGCACAAACTCTTATTACTCTGAGGTAAACTATGTTTGCAAATTGCATGTGTGATGTAATAAACCCTGCATGAGAAATATGAAACTTGCATTGCATGACACGCCTCAGTTGCTTGAAGTACATTTACCTTGCATGATGTAAAAAAGTCTTGATTGAAGTACAGTACCATGATTGGTAACTGATAATTAAGTTGCATGTCATACAAAAATAGTTTTATATCAAGTTCCCATACCCTGTCCATTTTATAGAACGATAAAGTAGAGAGATATTGGAAATATGCGGGCTTGATGTGAGACTATGTAAAAATGATGATTGATATTGTATGAATTGTTTGAAACACAATTGCTTGAAATCTAATAAGTTGCTTGAAATCCAATAAGTTACTTGAAATACTATAAGTTGCTTGAAATACAATAAGTTGCTTGAAATACAAGTTGCTTATAATTACAACTTGCTTTGAATACAAACCTCTTAAAATATAAGTTGCTTGAAATATAAGTGAGATATACAGGCCTGTCAACTGTCCCGCAATTTGCGTATTTGTCACGCATTTGCTGAAGAATTTGAAGTCACGCCAGTTCTTTTTGCGTGACAGAAAATGTCACGCAAATACGCATTTTACCTGGAAATTGTCAAGCAAAAATATTTCTGTAGAAAAATTTCTAAAAAAGTTCGTATACACAGCAAAAGTACGAACGCCGAAAAAAAATGTACGCATTTCGTTCGGACTTTTCACGCGAATTACGTATATGTCACGCATTCCGTTCGAAATTTTCCGTACCTACCCCCCCAAAAATCAAAATCTGGTAAGATGTAATAAAATTTAAACCAAGGTGTTCAAAATTTGGATCAAGGTGTTCAGATTTGGACCAAGGTGTCCATATTTCGAGGGGAGGTGTTCAACATTTCCAAGTCACTCATGTTAGGTGTTCCCAAGTTGACAGGCCTGGATATAGTAAGTTGCTTGAAATAGAAGTCTCTTGAAATATAATAAGTTGCTTGAAATACCATAAGTTTCTTGAAATTCAAGTCACTTGAAGTATAAGCTGCTTGAAGTACATTACGGTACTTGAAATACAAGTTTCTTGAAATACAATAAGTTGCCTGTGACATAGCCGTAGGGACCGGGGGTTCGATGGGTTCGGACAAACCCCCGGCCGGGATTTCTCCCAAAAAAATATTTGTGGAAAAATTCATTGCAATAACCAGAAACATATATTCAATTTATATGACCAGTAGGAAAAAATAGTAAAGGAAGAGGTTTGAGTATTGGCAAATATCCCTATGGTCATAATGAATCATTCTTAGGTGTAACATGAAGAATAGAATGTCATAATACTTTGGAAAATATTAAAGTGCTGGGGCACACATAAGCTGAGATAGGGATCATTTCATGATTCTCGTCATTAATGATAAAATCAGCGGAACTGTGATAGAAAATGGAATGTTTTCAAAGTTTTTTATTTTCAATTCAAAGAAAGCACAACAAATAAGTTTTTCAGCATTATTTGTTCTTTATTTGTTGCAAGGCATTGCAATTTAAGAGAGATGTTTAATGTTAGAGCCTACAGAGCACAGTGGATATTTTGTTATTTCAATTTTTTTTTTTAAATTTCAGCCTATGTTTCATTCCATTAATACAATACTATTTGTCATCTGTCACTTCTATCGTCAGTACCAATTGAGAGTATTCGTGCAGCCATTACGACTTTTATTGTGCGCCATGATTAAATAAGTATTACATTCTTCAAAAATATTTGCTTTTGAATATACTAGTATTCAGAAACTAACTGTAGTTTCATGAGGTCATTATGAACTCCTCTATTACAAAATGAAATGGCAGATAAAATTATTTTGATTTGGATTCTTTTCAAAAATCATCTAAAAGTGTGGGAATAGCATGCCAGAATTTGACATAATGTATCTTTGAATGATGAATTGGGAATGACGATTTTTCAATGGTAGCTCGTTAAAAAATATGTTCCTTAGAGATATGTTGTAATTTGCCCTTTACAAAAGTTGTCTCAATGTATGCTAACCCTTGATTTGGATTTCATTGAACAATTAAACAATTGTTATATAAAATGTATGATTTTGCTACCAGAATTCAATATCTTTCAGTAAAAGATTCACCAAAAACTATTTCAATATAGAAAATCAAATTGTTGCCAAACTTTTGGAGGGGTGTAAATTGTATGTACAAAAAATACTTTTATGTGAGGTACACCGATGAAGGGGGAGATTTGTGGATACATAAAAAATCGAACCCCTGGTCACCAATTGCTGGCTACGCCACTGCTGTGATGTGATGCAATAAATTACTATTTTGCATACTGCCTTCAATTGTGAAAAATCACAGCCTAATTCTATCAGTTTTGCTTCATAGTTTGAAAACAGATTACCATTTGCATTCGTTTGACTTCACTTCTTAAAACAGAGCTTCGTCTTCACTCTTTCAAACTAAAATAAACCTGTGAACTCATCGCGCCAATCAGTGTTCGTCGGCCAAATTTGACCGACGTTCTTTATATGGTCATTCCTTCTGACGTCATCGTTGAGCCCGGAATTGACCAATGACATGCGCATATTTAATTAGAACACATTTGGCGTATGTTTCTACAAGCTCGCTGATTGGTGGAAGGTTGGTGTGTAGGTCAAAAGTGATTTTCCCAAACTGTCACCGGTACCCGTCGTGGGGGCGGGGCTACTAAACTGTAATATGGTCTCTACTAGGCAGAGTGTAGTTTAACTAGACTCTGCACGCAGGGTAAAAACAGATGCATGTTTGTTGAGTAACAGATTAACCAGTTGCAGTTAAACGTGATTTAACCTGTACAGTTTTATAGTATATGTATACACATGTATAAACAGATAGTAAATTGACAAACCCCCAAATCTATTAAATGCCAAAATCATGATTTTTGAGAGAAAAAAACATGATCACAAAATGTAAAATAAACTTTTTAAGAATTCACCTTTATCATTATATACCATATAATTGTAAACATAATTTTACAACTAGATGTGATTAATTTCGCATACTCTTTTCCTAGTTGAAGGCACAGAGGCTATATATACTTCGGGTATAGACACTAAATATTTTGAAAAGGGTAACCATTTCCTTAGCTAAAGGGAGAATACAGATTTGAAATTTTGTTAAGTTGAATCATTTCCAAATTTTGTTTTGTAAATCATATGAGTCATTCACTTTTAAATAACTGAGTCATGAATTTCTATGGCACCATTGTAAAGAAAAACACCCAATGGTCCCAACAAAATGCTTTTGGCATTAGGTAAATTGTTAAAAGTATTAAGAGCGTTAAAAGGAAGAATAAAAAAAGCTGAGAAAATCAGACTTGCTAACAATGAAAAAATAAATATTGCTATCCTCAATAAAAAAGCAAGTCATGTTGAAGACGTGTAGTGCAATTCCAAATTGTTTAAAGTTATGAAATCATTCGGGAGGTGGTGTTTTATTTGTATGACACTCATGTATTGTTTAATGCAAGTATGATCTAGTACTGCATTTGTTCTGTTCTACTTAGGCCCCATAGATTAAGGGTCTGGTTAGTTGAATATTTTTTTGGGAAAAGGACTTGACGTCAATGATCATGTTTTTTCAGATTTATTTAAAATTGTGAAAAACATGTTAGTGAACGTTCTTATAACAGCCTAGTTCAACAAGTTAAACCCAATACCACGGCTTTCATTTATTAATCTGAATGTTCTTGTTACCGTGGTTGGGTTTAACTTCCGTGCTATGCCTTCATTTGATGCAAATTCTCACTACCAGTTATGAATTAAACGCGCATGGAATTCTATGCGCTACCATAGGCCACCATTAAAATCTTTGCATCAAGGGCTGAATAGGCACGGACGTTAAACCTAGGGCGGGCCACAAGATATGTCAGATGAGAAATAAGGCCCAGACTAGGTTTAACTTGTTGAACTAATAACAGCCTCAATGGGTTGGCAAAAGGGTTTGGGCCACTACAGTAGCCACAGCTAAATGTACAATTTATTTGCCAGTGCCCTGTTAGCTTTTTTAAGCGTCATTCAAATAGTTACTACTTTGGCAGTATTTGTTTTTCATTTTCAATGTAAGGCTCTATGGTATGTATTCTCAAATAAAAATGCCCAGTAACAAAGCTTATATCAGGAGAACATTCACCAAATTTACAAAAAAAAACTCTTTGAAATAAAGAGAAATATGAGAATGATTTATAGAAAACCATATGGAGAAAACATTTTCAAAAATCAATTGCAAACATTTGAAATATTTTACAACAATTAATCATAGAATAAATGCCAATGAATAAATGTGATATCCCCCGATGTATATATATTTTATTGTCACTGTGATGTATTTAACAATGACATATTAGTCAGTACAATTTATAATATATGTACAAAACTGAACTTAAACTAGACTTAATCTTACTACAACAACTAATACAAAGACAGCATGAAAAAACAATAAAATATTAAAAATATCCAAACTATCAGTTCACAACATCTGAAGGGTCAATAAAAGATCAATATTGGTACACATTTTAACTATCCGTCAAATTTACATTAAATTGTGGCATATTGAAACTTTGATTTTTTTCAGATTTTATTTTTATTAACTTAAAAATATTCTGCTTATTTGTTTTCAGAAAAATGGAGGCCATCCAAATGGTGATTACCCAATGGAAACATTTTCGGTAAGGAATAAATTTTGACAACTTTATGTTAATGTGATTAGTTGAAATAGATCAATATATCTTTTTATCTTTAACAGTGTGGTAATTTGACTTCCTTATGACACTGGCAAAGGGTACTTAGAGGCAAATACCAAAGACCCATTAACCATTGGAATTGGCAGTTTCATGCAGTAAATTATAACTTTCTAGTGGCTTCGAGTCTTTAGAAATGACAATTGAAGTCTAATTATTTACTTTTCTTCACTTTTAATCACCACCTACAATGGTTAACTCAAAATTGGCAGATTTTTCTGAGGTGGAAATAAAATAGAAACAGAAAGTTAGAAACTATACATGTTCACGAAAAAATTAAGCCCTTATGACTATTTTATCTAAACTTTATTTTACACTGTGAAGAAGATTAGAAGGGCAGGCCCGTAGCCAGGATTTGCCAAGGGGGGTTCACTTTTTGAAAAATTCCAAGGGGGGTTCACTTGTGATAATCTTGGTCCAAAAATGGCCAAAATCACTTAAAAAGTGCTCAGAATGGTGATTTTGTGTGTCCATTGAACCCCCTTGGCTACGGGCCTGGAGGGCATGGGGCTCAATGCAAGACTATAATATCTATTACAGTCATGTACTTCGTTCAAATCACACATTAGTGCTCTAATATACAACTACTCTGTTCCTGATCATATGTTTTGAATCCCATTAAAAAACAATAAAATCACAAAAACACAGGCTGTACATGTACTGGATTTCCTCTCTTTGTTATAACAGTTTGTAAGTTTTTAAAGCATGTGTTAATTATATGGTTGCTGTTTTATTACTTTTTGAATATCCTTAAAAGTGAGCCTCAATCATAATTTGTCTTATTCAGAGGGCAGTTAAATTGTACCCTTTTCAATACCCCTTAAGCAAATAGTTTCTTGATTTTAGGGTAATGTTTGCAGTTTGGTGTATGTACATGAGATGTACTTATTCAATGTCCCTCATATTCTTCTTATTGAATGTCCCTCGTATTCCGCATATTGAATGTCCCTCATATTCTGCTTATTGAATGTCCCTCATATTCTGCTTATTGAATGTCCCTTGTATTATTCTTATTGAATGTCCCTTGTATTATTCTTATTGAATGCTCCTTGTATTATTCTTATTGAATGCTCCTTGTATTATTCTTATTGAATGTCCCTCATATTATGCTTTTTGAATGTCCGTCGTATTATACTTATTGAATGTGCCTCGTATTCTGCTAAAGGGTGTAACCTTTAAAGATGTAAATAACCTGTACAATGTAGATGGACAATCGCCAAAAATGGATTATAAGATTATCTACCTGAATTACCAGTGGATTATGACCTAAATGTATATGCTAGTTATGAATGTACATGTATTTTCACCATTCTGAGCACTTCTCAAGTGATTTTGGCCATTTTCGGGCTAAAGTTGCCAAAATATGTCTCAATTTCAAATGTCACTTATACATTATGAACAACTTTATTCTCAATCACATAGTAAAACCTGTCTAATTTAAACACCACTTTGACCAGCCAAAAGTATTTGAACTGGCAGAAGTTCATCGTAGCCACACCCTCGCCATCTCTGTCCTTCTGGAGAGCATCTGTGATGCAACAGAGATCAGAATGGCAGATGTAACATTACAATTTTCTTCACATGGAAGTCTACGGCGGATTCAAAAATATATGAGACTGAAAAAAGTGTTCACAACGAGATGTGTTCAGACTAGAGAGTTGTTCAAATATGCATGTTTCACTGCATGCTATTTATACATCTTAGAGACATTGTTGACTCAAAGGGTTATTGTAAACTTAATATTGAATTCTTAAATATTGACTCTACTTAATGTCAGTAATTCTTTAGACATACACGGTTCAATTCCAAACAAATCTCCAGAATTTAACCCCAAAATATCATATATGCAATATATGTAGAATTCTTAATGTCGCATTGGTAATATGTCAAATTGAAAGCATTCAGAAAAGGGGAAGGGGAGGATTGAATGTTGTTCTTGGTGGATGACCTATGATTATCTATTTTTACATTGTTAACCTCTTGAATCCCAGGCTCTAAAATTGGCATGAAACCAGAGAATTTTTCATTTTTTGCCACCTTTTGACATTTTATTACATACCTATACAACTTTAGATGCTCAGCTTAGTAAAATTGGACGGCAGAGATCATTTCTACACGTTTTAAAACAATTTTTGTGTAAATTGGATGAAAATTGTTCAAATGAGAGCAATTTTTGTGAAAAATTTTGTGACGGATTTTCTCGTCCCTCTGGGCACCAGTCTTATTTCATTTGTGACGGATATATCCGTCACTCTGGGTATTCAAGAGGTTAACCTATTCCTTTAATATATAAGTTTCATTTATACAAGAGCATGATAAATACTACTAACAGCTAGGCTATAATTTTCACTTACCCAACCCCAAAATATTTTCTATGGGTTTCCAGTGCCAACTTCCATGAAGCTTGAGAGCTCCCCTTTCCCCAATCTTCTTCCTACCCAGAGTCTTGTATACATCCTGTGTATGTAACCCGGGATATGTCAATGGGAGGAGGAACATATACTCGTACAAGTAGGGCTAGATACCAGAGTATTTTTTATTCATATTTAATTATTCATGTATAGGTGCATGCATTCTGATACTCATAGCATCTTTCTGTCTTACCTGACATTCTGATACTCATAGCATCTTTCTGTTTCACCTGAAACATGCTCTGATATTATGAGGCATATTCTGTGATCTGAGCAAATCAGATGGGAAAAGTTATAACTGTCATTAAGTGTGATTGTTATCATGTAATCATTTACCTTAATGTCAATACATTACATAATGGGCATTGTATTTAACAGCAGATATTACAACAGGCACAGTTACACAAGTTTAGGGGAGGCATCAAAAGATCAATGTCTGATAGAAAACTAAATAAATCTAGTTTGGGGGGGAGGGGGTCAAAGCTATTTCAGTTTGCTATCCGACAAATTTCAACATTTAAGTTTTTGCAATTTTGACTCGGAATGCCTTGGAATGGTTTAAAAATACAGACTTTACCAGATGCATTCTCCATCAAGATGCATGTAACATGGAATATAATGCCTATTGTTGTTGGCACATGTTTTAAGAATTATACATAAGTTATAGTACTGCCCCCATGAAAGTCCAAAGTGAGTTGCTAAAACATGTGAAAAGTCCGTGATCAACTTTCATTGTATTTAGTTTTGAGGGGGAGGGGGGGGGGGGGTCCAACTCAAAACTAGATTTATTTAGTTTCCTATCAGACATTGAACTTTTGATGCCTCCCCTTAATGACCCCAATTAGATGAAATATGAGCTGGGATGAAAGATCTCAAAAATCCTCAATTTTGGGCTCTCCTGGATCGCCAAATCAAGCTCATTATATCATGGCATCTCAGGGCTGAGAAGATTTGAGATGGCATGGTTTATCATGATGCTTACCTGAAATCATCCCAGGACTGAGAAGAAATGAGATATCATGGTTTATCATGATGGCATAGGTGTGATAATTCCATAGTAAAATTATGCAGAGTGAAATCACTTGATTGGAATATATAATTGATGACTAAGAAATCGAGAATATTTTGTAATTAATTTCAATGTAAATTCTAAGTGCATTATTCAGTATGCGTCTAGGTATAATTTACTTGTTAATTTTGGGAATCTTATTTTGCTTACATGTACCTTGATTGCTTGATTACTCTCTGGGTAAGGAGATCAGGCCCGTAGCCAGCTTTTGCTGACGTGGGGGGGGGCACTTTTTAAAAAAATCCAAGGGGACAATTTAGGATCAAAAATCACCAAAACAGTGTTCAGAACGATAAAAAACTGCACGATTTTGAAATAATTTTTGGCCAGGGGGTGGGGGGGGGGTTAGCTGGTACTGGTATAACCTCCCTGGCTTGGCCTGAAGGCCTGAGGTAGATGGGCAGATTGAAGGCTTGAGCCAAACCGGCCCACATGTTAAGGTTCAGATTAATTTGCCTGATTGTATAGTAATCTTTTCTCTTAATATGTAAATCACATTTCTTTCATCATACCAATGTTTATCTCAGATCTCACTGATTATGTTTTGAAATGATATTATTAAAGGTGACGTTTTTAATTGACTTATCTTGATTACAGAAAACTTCTTAGAAAAACAAGCAACTTTTGATCTTATAATGGCTTATAATTAGGTATATTTAAAGGTCACTTTGGAGGGCTAAAGTTACAGGTTGGAAACTAAGAGGGAAGATGTATATAATGCTTTTAGTAAATAGGGTCATTATTATCTACCCTGTGTACAGAGTCTAGTTATAAACTGAAAACGAAGCTCTCTTTTAAAAAGTGAAGTCGAATGAATGCAAAGGGTAATTATTATCAAACTGCCCAAGAACTCAGGGTATACAGGATTTCCATAAAGTCTCTTTACACTTTACATGGACTTTGTATTGTAATTGTAAAGAGATTTTATGGACACCCTGTATTTCTTTCCATGCATGATTGCATAACTCATAACTCTTTTTCTGGAAAATATTACCCTATTAAGTCTCTTTACACTTTAAACAGACTTTGTATTATAATAGTAAAGCGACTTTATGGATGCCCTGTATTTCCATAAAGTTTCTTTTTTACACTTTACACAGTCTTATTATTGTAAAACTAAAGAAACTTAATGGAAACCCTGTATTCATTTGTCGATCCTCATCCGAGTGGAATACTCACTACTGGTAGGTTCGTGATCCTATAGTGTAATTTAACACCTGTGTAATATACAGTTGTACATACTACAGTATTAGTATTATACTGCGGTTTACATTTACATTTATCTTCATGGTAATTGTTAACATCTACATAAAAATAACTTCTGAGACTTGAGAATTTGCATTAAATGTCACTCAAAATTGAAACTTCTTATTGGGTCTGAAGGCAGTCTAAGGAGTTGCCTGGATGTAACTGAGCAATAATGGGCTTAATTCATGTGTCTTTTCTCGTTCACACCTATATATAACTCCTCATGAGAAATCCACTGAATTTGTTGTGTGATTAAAGTGGCAATATGCATATTTTTTGCAATATTTCTCAAAATAATGTTTATATTATACAGGGTGGGCCAAAAGTGTTTACAATTTTAAAGTGTTATATCTCTTTTTTGTTTCCAACCAATTAGAACACATGATGTTGTTGATGATGCGGGGCAAGATGAATAATGATCATTATATACATCAATGTTGCAATAACACTAAATGGAGACGTAGGGGTATAAAATACGAAAGTATTTTCGTTTTAACCAAACGAATCCAAACATATAGCAATAAAGCTCTAACAAGGCCTTAACCTCTCATTTGTTACAGACCCCAAATTGCCAAACAGCAAACACCAACCACCAAACACCGCCACAATAATAGTTTGAGACTTATAACATATAACATTGTGGTGGTGACATAAAAACTTAGAGGGAATGAATCTTATATTTTGATAAATTTCCAACCCAGAAAAAAAGGTCACTATACTTGCCAAGAAATCATATAATGTAAGGAATGTTGAAATAGTAAAACAGGGCTTTTCAAAAAATAACAAATAAACAGAACACCAAATGTAAATACAAATACCTGTAAATTATCACCAATATGATTCAATATGCCTAACCCATACTCTTAAAGTGTTTACTTGTCTTGCGTTGGATTATATTTTTCAAACAACAAAAACATAAGAAGCGATATAGTTAAACCTGTAAAATAGTGAAACATCTCCAGTATACACCAAGTATACCAAGTTTTCCTTGTATTAATTTTTCCATGTATTGACTTTGATATGCCTTTGTCTTTGCCATGTGTTAAGTTTGCCATGCATTAATTCTGCCAATCATCAATTTTGCCATGTGTCAAGTTTGCCATGTGTCAAGTTTGCCATGTATTGGTTCTGCCAATTATCAATTTTGTCATGTGTCAAGTTTGCCATGTATTTATTCTGCCAATCATCAATTTTGCCATGTGTCAAGTTTGCCATGTATTTATTCTCCCAATCATCAATTTTGCCATGTGTCAAGTTTGCCATGTATTTATACTGCCAATCATCAATTTTGCCATGTGTCAAGTTTGCCATGTATTTATACTGCCAATCATCAATTTTGCCATGTGCCATGTATTTATTCTGCCAATCATTAATTTTGCCATGTGTCAAGTTTGCCATGTATTTATTCTGCCAATCATCTATTTTGCCATGTGTCAAGTTTGCCATGTATTTATTCTGCCAATTATCAATTTTGCCATGTGTCAAGTTTGCCATGTATTTGTTATGCAAATCATCAATTTTGCCATGTGTCAAGTTTGCCATGTATTTATTCTGCCAATCATCAATTTTGCCATGTGTCATGTTTGCCATGTATTGATTCTGCCAATTATCAATTTTGCCATGTGTCAAGTTTGCCATGTATTTATTCTGCCAATCATCAATTTTGCCATGTGTCATGTTTGCCATGTATTGATTCTGCCAATTATCAATTTTGTCATGTGTCAAGTTTGCCATGTATTTATTCTGCCAATTATCAATTTTGCCATATGTCAAGTTTGCCATGTATTTATTCTGCCAATCATCAATTTTGCCATGTGTTAAGTTTGCCATATATTTGTTCTGCCTATCAGTTTGCAATGTATTTATTCTGCTAATCATCAATTTTGCCATATGTCAAGTTTGCCATGTATTGATTCTGCCAATTATCAATTTTGCCATGTGTCAAGTTTGCCATGTATTTATTCTGCCAATCATCAATTTTGCCAGGTGTCATGTTTGCCATGTATTGATTCTGCCAATTATCAATTTTGCCATGTGTCAAGTTTGCCATGTATTTATTCTGCCAATCATCAATTTTGCCATGTGTCATGTTTGCCATGTATTTATTCTGCCAATCATCAATTTTGCCATGTGTCAAGTTTGCCATGTATTTATTCTGCCAATCATCAATTTTGCCATGTGTAAAGTTTGCCATATATTTATTCTGCCAATTATCAATTTTGCCATGTGTCAAGTTTGCTATATATTTGTTCTGCCTATCAGTTTGCAATGTATTTATTCTGCTAATCATCAATTTTGCCATATGTCAAGTTTGCCATGTATTTATTCTGTAAATCATCAATTTTGCCATGTGTCAAGTTTTCCATGTATTTATTCTGCCAATCATCAATTTTGCCATGTGTCAAGTTTGCCATGTATATTCTGCCAATCATCAATTTTGCCATGTGTCAAGTTTGCCATGTATTTATTCTGTAAATCATCAATTTTGCCATGTGTAAAGTTTGCCATGTATTTATTCTGCCAATCATCAATTTTGCCATATGTCAAGTTTGCCATGTATTTATTCTACCAATTATCAATTTTGCCATGTACATAATTTGCCATGTATTCCAGGGGGAAGATGATGATCGCACAACAGACTTCACAAGTGATGAGAATAAAGACAGAGGAAACTGGTCAGGAAGAATGGACTTCTTGTTGTCTTGTTTGGGGTATGTCTGTTTTTTCCTATGTTTGGGGTTTGGTTTATTCGTGGTATGCTTGTTTATCCATTTGTTGTTTAAAGGTCCTGTTCAGTATTCATTTACAGGTTCAGGTACACAAGCATAACGAGTGTAACAGTTAAGTTACATTGGTATATTGCTAGGTTCACTGAGTTTTTGAAAAGCAGTCTTACTTCAATGATTTTGGCACATATCAGCATTACATCATATTAACATTGCCATGTACATGTGTATGCTCTTTGCCTTCTATTTAATTTACCAGGTACAAAAAAAACATGTATATAAAGATGCATTTAATGACTCGCTTCAACTACCATGGACCATGCATATGGGTGATGTCCCAAAATGTCAAAATTGTGTGATCTCCCAAAATGTCACAATTGTGATCTCCCAAAATGTTACAATTGTGCAATCCCCCAAAATGTCACTATTGTGCAATCTCCCAAAATGTCACTATTGTGATATCCCAAAATGTTACAATTGTGCCATCTCCCAAAATGTCACTATTGTGTTATCCCAAAATGTTACAATTGTGCCATCTCCCAAAATGTCACTATCGTGATCTCCCAAAATGTTACAATTGTGCAATCTCCCAAAATGTTACAATTGTGCAATCCCCCAAAATGTCACTATTGTGCAATCTCCCAAAATGTCACTGTTTTGACCCCCAAAATGTCACAATTGTGCGATCTCCCAAAATGTCACTATTGTGATCCCCCAAAATGTTACAATTGTGCGTTCTCCCAAAATGTTACAATTGTGCAATCTCCCAAAATGTTACAATTGTGCAATCTCCCAAAATGTCACTGTTGTGGTGAATATATGAGTTTCCCAAGCTCATGTGAGCTGCTTTAATCTGGAAGGACCATTTTGATATAAAAAAATTTATAGTATGCCTAGTATCTAACTTGTTCCTCAATCATAAGTTATTCATTAAATTTTCTGAAATACTTGTACACTATATGCCAAATGATGCACTATAAAGCTGTGAACACATCTGATACAGATGGGTGTGTATACAGGCATGAGTTAAGTGCCTTACCAGAGTTTTACAGAAATATATTTTTAACCATTTTTCAACTGAAACTAGATATTGAGTCTAAAGGAAGAATTGTACAGTGAAACCTGTAAAGTGGGACACCTCTAGAATTGAAACACTTTTCAGAGTTCCAAGATCAAATGACTTAATGCGAAGTGAAATCCCTATAAGTTGAATACCTTCCAAGTGGAACACTTTTAGAGGTACCAAAGGTGTTCCACTTAGCTTTTTTTCTGTACTTTATTTAGCTGGAATTTGTACAAACTGATTATGGGTATTTACCAGACTTCATCATACCATGAGATTGCTCGACGGCAATATCACATCTTTGGTAGCAAACTAAGGGTCAACACAGAGCATAAAATCATTGTATGATGACTTTTGGTTAGTACTTGCGAAGACCCATTATTCAGTTAAGTTATAGTAATAAGCAATTGCTGGCTTTAGGCTTTTACATTCCAATTGCCTCCTGAACAAATAGTTCAAATGTCTTCCAATCGATCAATGCAATAAAAGTAAGTAATATCTAGGTTAATATAGGTATACTGCACCCATTTGCCAGGTTCAGTCATTTCACTATCAAAATTGATCACGACTCATTCTATGTGGTTTTGAAAGGTAAAAGGAGAGCAAATATTTGGCCATGTGAGGTTTTAAATTTGAGCACTATGTTACAAATACTCGAGTGTAAACAAATCCATTTTTGTGATGAGTAAATAATTGGGAGTGCTTATGACTAATGTTGTGAAAAACAATGTTTGTGTACTTAAAGTCCAAATTTCAGGTCAGAGGAAAAACTTCTCTAATCCAAAATGATTTTGGGCCCCTAAAACTCCAAAGTGGGCCCAAATTTTGAGGCCCATTATCTTCAAGGCCCAGTAATGACCAAAAAGGCCCACCTTTCGGGCCTTAAGGCCTTTTTTGGTGCAATGTAATTTTCATTGCAGCTAGCTATTGTGGCGCTGCTTTCTTCATTCCCTGGTACTATTATTGTGATATTTCGTTCCAGGTATGCCGTAGGCTTGGGAAATGTCTGGCGTTTCCCTTATTTGTGTTACAAGAATGGTGGAGCTGCTTTCTTCATCCCCTATTGCATCATGTTGGGTATCGTTGGTATCCCCATCTTCTTCCTGGAGTTGTCTCTTGGTCAATTCACAAGTAGAGGAATCTTCAACTGCTGGCAGTTTGCTCCTATGTTTAAGGGTAAGTATATGAGAGCATTCTCCTGTTAACCACTGTGTAGTGTAGTGTAGTGTATTGAAGTAGTGTGATACAGTATTAATTATCCCAACGAACGAAGTTCGTTAGGGATATAGTGAAGCCCTCCGTCCGTCCGTCCGTCCGTCTGTCCGTCAGTCAGTCAGTCAGTCAGTCAGTCCGTCCGTCTGTCCGGAAGATCTTTTTTTTCAAGATGGCCGCCGCTTTAAAAATGACGGGACTTTTTCGCAAAAATCATAAATGTTTCATTCTAAACCAAAGTAATTAATATTATTGTTTGAAATTTTGGTAGTGTATTCACAACATTTATTTATTTCACATATATTCCGTGTTTTTCATCCTTACCCCCAGGGGCCATGTATCGGGGGACAGGAAAACAGAAATTTTCGCTTATTTTTAGATCTTTCTGAAGTATAGCTTTATTATACTCAAATGAAAGGCAATTAAGAGTAAATTGCAAATATTGTATCTTTTTTCTGATTCGAGCCTCGTAAAATTCAAAATGGCCATCTAATGTACGATTTCGCAATAATTTTTCGATCCCTTCAAAGTATGGCTATATTATACTCAAATTGAAGGAATTTTGGAGTAGATCACAATTATGGTATTATTTTTCAGATTTTTACCTCAGAAAATTCAAAATGGCTGCTTTGCAGGAATTCGCAATTCTAAAATCTAATTTTTTCATTTTCAACCAAAGTAATGAGTATAATTGATTGGAATTCGGTAATTGATATTTTGTTCGTTGGGATTTGCTACTCCGCGGAGTTGCCGTTATCTAGTTTCATAAATTTAGGCCTTAGGCCCAGATGCAATACAGTATACAATAAACATATTTTGAGTTTGAATATATCTAATATATAAGATTCAGCAAGAAGTAGTGCAGTGAACAAGCCATTATTTTATAATAAAATATTGTAAGAAGATGCTTTATATCCAGAAGGATATCAAGCTAAATAGTATATTGTATTAAATAGTAATATCACTGCTGAATAAAAAAAAATACATAGTCTGAATATATGAGAGTGTCTCACATTTATGTGTCTCACATGTGTGTGTCATGTTGATATTTTGCAGTGTCTTTTTATGTGTCTTAAAACATATTATTGAGGTTATACACTGATATTGATTCATACATTACTCCTATGTATATGTGTATTTTGAATGTTTGTGTTTTTTCTGTAGGTATTGGAGTTGCTATGTTCATTGTGTCCCTTCTAGTAGGCATATACTACAATATGATCGTAGGATGGAGTATATACTATCTCTGTGCTTCATTTACTAGTAAACTACCTTGGAGTGAATGTGGAGACTGGTCATCTGAATGTAAGTAAATGTAATATTATATACTAGGAATGGGATATGTGGTGTATCCTAGTGGACACGGGGTACGTCCTAGGGGATATGGGGTCAGTTAATCCTAGGAGATATAGGCTATATTCTAGATGATATGGGATACATCTGATTGTAAGTATAAGAGATGGGATTATCGGTCTGTGCATGGTCAACATATTAGGGATGGAATATGGGTATATCCTATGGAGATATGGGGGTAAATACTTGTGGATATGGGATATATCCCACCCCTAAACTTAATATATTTGAATGTTCAGAAACATACTCTCTGTAAAAGGAGGGATATGGGGTATATCCTAGGGGTAGGATTAAATTCCCCGTGATCATGAATGTTTTTTTTAAGGAATTCATCTCCAAATAAATAATTAGATATACAAATATAGTACTAACTTAGACCAGCATGTTCACAAGTCTATATTTTTTTGAACATTTTCAATTTTGTTTTCATTTGCAGGGTGTAGTGAAAATGTAAAAGATTTGAATGCCACCCAGTGTGTTGCCCCATTAACTTACAATGACACAACTACTGTGTGCTATAATGGCTCTACAGTGTATGGGGTTGTAGACACCACAGTAGCAGAAACATTTGGAATGAAGAAGATAATCCCAAGTGAAGATTACATGAAGTGAGTAAATCATACATGTACATAATACTACCTGTATATGTTAGGACGTATTATCATGCTCATCCAGGAGTTTCATTAGTAGCCGGCAACAGGCGATTTTCACCGGTTGTTTTCACAAAATCGTCTGTTATTTTTAGGGACTTTTTCAACTTTCCATGTTAAATTTATGATTTCCAATAATTTTGCCTGTTTTCATTTATTTAGCCTGTTGTGAGAAATTCTAGTTCCCCTGTTATCTCTAAGAAATGTCATGTGGTTATTGTTTTGTATGGGCATTTCTTTCTTCAAATATAGTTTTATTTCAATTGATTATATTACATACATGTTCAGTGTATACAGTAGTTAAATCACCCATAGTCTTATCATGTTACATTTGTTTTAAAAAAAATACATTTTTAAGTATATAGATTTCAAAATTTTGAGCTTTCACAATCGATCCTTCATAATCACGCTTCATAGCATTATTTAATTCTTGAATAAGTTCCTTATTGTATTTAACCGAAATAAATGGATTAATATGAAAAAAAATCTATTATACATATTTATTGTTCTTGTTTTCAGTCGTGCAGTTCTTGGTACTGCCTTCAGTGAGGGTATACATGATTTAGGACCACTAAACTGGAGGTTGTGTCTCTGTCTCCTGGGTGCATGGCTCATTGTCTTTTTCAGTCTTATCAAAGGCATCAAGAGCTCTGGAAAGGTAAGCTACAATATGAACATAACCACTGTTAATTTAAAACAGTGATATCTCTCATTGTGACTAAGGATGAGAACAGTGAGGTTCAGTCCATTGCCAAGTAGGCAACTCAGGCCCATTATAGCCAGGATTTGTCAAGAGGGGAGTTCATTTTTCAAAAATTTCCAGGGGGTTCACATTTGACAATTTTGGCCCAAATAGGGCTAAAATCACTTGAGAACCTTGCGAACACCCCTGGCTACGGGCCTGCAACTGTTTTATATAACTATTGACTATTGTGAAAACTGGTTACCATTGGCAACTGTAAGTTTTGACCCTGATCTCCCGAGGGCACTCAGTCTTCAATATTTCATGATATTATCAGTGTGCAAACAGCGTGACATGTACTTTTAAGATTTTCAACAGAGTGACATGTACTTCTATGGCTTTCAGCAGAGTGACATGTACTTCTATGGCTTTCAGCAGAGTGACATGTACTTTTAGAATTTTCAACAAGGTGACATGTACTAAGGCTTTCAGCAGGGTGACATGTGCTTAAAAGATTTTCAACAATATGACATAAACTTCAAGTATTTTCATCAGGGTGACATCTTCTCCTAAGACTTTCAACATGGTGACTACTGAAAAATGATAAAATGATATCAACCAATTTTATTGAGGAACATTAATTGTCCCTGATTAAATAAAGTGAATATTCTAGGAATTGGACTTTCATTTGAAGCATGCTTGGAAAGATTAAAAGTAGATTTCCCTGTCCCTGTGACATACAAACTTTACCTATAGGTATGACCCAACACATTCTTCAATTCAAAATTTTCATGATTGCACCTTCTATATTTCTAGGTTGTCTACTTCACTGCCCTGTTTCCATATGTTGTGCTAATCATCCTCTTGGGTTGGGGCCTTACCCTGGATGGCTACTTTGATGGTAAATATCACTATTGACATTTGAACATAATTGACATTTTCAGAAAAATAAAATTTCAAGGTAATGTTGTGTCTTTCTTTTAAATAGTTATTGTTTTGAATTCATTAAGATTGTAATTTGGAGAAATGAAAGTCTGAGGTAAACGATTGTTATGCAAAATTCTCAATATAATTTGTAGTTTTTTCAAATAGGGAATGTCCAGATTTGTAAATATAATTGATTGTATCTCTACAAATTATCTTCAAATGTCACTTACAAATGGTTGCCCTGGTTACCTAAAACAAAGGTTACCATAGCAACCGACATAACAGTAGCATCCAACAATAACCAATTGTCTTTGGTCTTGTTTAATAAGTTCATATTTTCTGTGAAAATGTCAATGTGATTGAATAAAGTATGGAAATAGAAGAGCAGTTGGTTACTTACTTTCTGATCTTTTTTTAAAACAGTTTACTTTCTGATCTGGCATCGGAATGTCAAGAATGTATGCATATTATTGATTCAATACATCATCATGTATATGTATATAATACAATACAATACAATGTTATGTTCCAGGTATACGTTTTTACATCCTAGAGGCAGATTTGAACAAACTAAAAGAGGCTCAGGTAAAAATTGTTTATTCAAATTACAAAAGTATAGTTACATAACAGGAGACTTGGTTGGGCCAGCATGACTACAGGTTAAACTCTTGTCGTGTTTCTGCCCAGTTGTTTTAGGCCCAATAAGTTGATGGCACTTTTGGTGTGCAAATAAAATATAATCTGCAACAGGGCAATTCCCAAACAGCAGTATGAGTAAATTAAATCAAATTAAATTAATTGAGCTACCAAACACTGATGAGTAAATTAATCCTAAACATCAATACATAAAATGATGTGTATCATCAAAAGAGCAAGCCACGAGAATCAAGTGAACTTTTCTCATATTTAGGTATGGAAGGATGCAGCTGTCCAGATTTTCTTCTCGCTCTCGGCATCATGGGGAGGTCTCATCACACTGGCCAGTTACAACAGATTCCATAATGATTGCCTGAGGTAAGTTTGGGGGGATGGAATGGTGTGGGGGTGGAATAATATCGGGGATGAAATGGTGTTCAGGTGGTGCTTTCATACTGTTCTATTACCACAGGTTTCATAATGATTGCTTAAGGTGTGATGGAGAGAGTTGGGGGGGGGGCATGTTGTGAAGAATTCACAATGAATAAAGTTGGTTTATGGCTGTTATTTCAGCTTTTAGAAAATTTCAATAAAGTTTCAAACTTGATTTTCGAAGTAGAAATTTGATAGTGGTATTAGTGTATTGTGGAAAAAGAATGACCATACCAGTTGAAGTTAACATACTGTAAATGAAATTAAAGAAATCAGTTACAAAACAATAGTTACACTAAATTCTACAAAGTAAGCTTACATTGGTATATAATGACTTAAAATGCTCTGAAGTGAATTCTTATGTTTTTTTAAATGAAAATTCAACAGTATAATGCTTCTTTAAACAAAAAGTCTTCTACACTGGAATTTTAACTGAACACCTATTTGTTTCATTTCCAGAGATTCGCTGATTGTCTCCATTGGAAACTGTTTGACAAGTTTCTTTGCTGGCTTTGTCATTTTCTCATATCTTGGATTCTTGGCTAAGGAACTCGGCACTACTGTAGCCAAGGTTGCAACTAGTGGTAAGTAGTTTAAAACTTACAGTAAATGTTTGATAATTTTGCTAAAAGTGTATTATTATAATCATGAATGGCATTAGAAACTCGAAACTTACATTTTCAGATTTCTCCCGAAACCATCTTATGTTTATTTGAAATAAATAATGTAAAAAGTTTTGGTATTCTTTTTAGCAATGAGACATTACACAAATTGATATGTGACAAAAAGGTTCTGATAATTACACAATTTTTGGAAAAAATCCGTCTCTGATTCTACCTTTAATATTTTTTACTTGTTTAGGATTTTGAGAGTTCAACAATGTATTTATCATGTACTATGCTGTACGTGGTTATTAATCAATAAATGAACTGTTAAGATTGACTATTTGATATTTTATTGCTCATTTTTATTTTATTTTTTTTATTATTCTGCCTACCTTCTTTTAATAGCACTTATAATATTTTATAGCTACATATAAAGTCTGTGCCAACATCAAATACATGTACCTACGCAGGAATTGTGTCAAATTGTCAACATTTGTGGGAAAACATTGATTTCATTATGGCTTCACTTCTTATCTCCCTTATTTAATGAAAAATGTTAACAGCAAGAAGTGTAGTCCCAAATTGTTTGTCAGATGTTCACTTTTGTCAAAAACACACTTAGATACGAATATTTTAGAGCAATCATATTAGAGCAATCCTTGGTTATTATCATGTTTTTTATTATTACAAATCATGTTTTTATGAATTTGATAAACTTGAATTGTATTAAATATGATTCAGCCAGTTTTGAACTTAATATATTTCATGACTGTTCATGTATTTAAAAAGTTATAAAGTGTCAGTTAAAAACTTAACCTCATATTCCCATCACTGTGCATGCATTTTGCAATGCACTTCAGAAACTTGAGAGAGATTTGTTGAGAAAATGTCATGTTCTCTATTGCCACTGTAGGGTGTTGTCATTCAAAGTACTATTTTTATTTTACCTTACAAAAATTTCAGAGCCCTTCTGGAGTTTTATTCCTGGACCCAGTTTTGCATTTGTTGTTTACCTAATAATTATTTCAGGACCCAGTTTTACATTTTTGTTTACATAATAATTATTTCAGGACCCAGTTTTACATTTGTTGTTTACCTAAAAATCATATCAGAACTCAATTTTGCATTTTTGGTTTACCAAATACTTATTCATATTTATTATCCTTACACCTGACTATTATTCCAGGGCCTGGTCTTGCATTTGGTGTTTCCATAATATTTATTACAAGACTCAGTTTTGCATTTCTTGTTTATCCTCACACTTGACTATTATTCCAGGGCCTGGTCTTGCATTTGGTGTTTCCATAATACTTATTCCAGGACCCAGTTTTGCATTTGCTTTTTATCCTCACACTTGACTATTATACCAGGGCCCGGTCTTGGAATTGGTGTTTCCATAATACTTCCAGGACCCAGTTTTGCATTTTTTGTTTATCCTCACACTTATTATTCCAGGGCCCGGTCTTGCATTTGGTGTTTCCTTAATACTTCCAGGACCCTGTTTTGCATTTGCTGTTTATCCTCACACTTATGACTATTATTCCAGGGCCTGGTCTTGCATTTGTCGTATACCCCGATGCTGTCACCAGAATGCCCGTCTCCCCTCTCTGGGCAATCCTGTTCTTCATCATGTTGATCACATTGGGACTGGACAGTCAGGTACAGTATAGTACTTATATGATGTCATATGAACTTGGCAATTAATTGCAGCTTCAGTCATGTAATGTATTGATTTTGACATCCCCATGCACTTTTTATTATTTTGGAATATCGAATACAGTACTTCTATGATGTCAGATGAACTTGGCAATTAATCGCAGCTTTAGTCATGTAATGTATTGATGTTAGAGTTCCATTCACTTTTTATTTTGGAATTTCAAATTTCTCTAATTACATATTATGCAACCATATGGATTTTACATTTTATGACCAATTCTACTTATACTTTTTGTTTAATATGATAGCTGTAATAAGGTTCCCATTTAGAATGATGTATCAATTTTTCTAATTTCAAATTTTATTCAGACTTTAAATTTATGAGTATACATCTCAAATTTTATTTCCCCAATGTTAGCCCAATCTTATTCAACTCCATGCTCCAATAAAATCTCATGGACAAGTGATTTTTTGGGTTCACAAAATGAGCTTGTGAAATTGTTTTTAACCTCTTGAATCCCAGGCTCTAAAATTGGTAGGGGTGGGTCGGGCGGCCCTCGGGTCGGGCACCCCTCGGGTCGGGCACCTTCGGGCCGGGCTCAACTGCTTCGGGCTACGGGCCGGGCCGGGCTGTAAAGTCAGTCCTCTAGTTTGAATGACACCATAAGTACAAATGAATAAATAAACATATAATACTGAATCAAGTGTCTTATGTTTTTTGTTAATATTGTTTAACCATGTTCTGATGATTTTACTTCAATGACTAATGATTAGAAATTAGCCATTAGCTCATCAATCTATCAACACCAGGGGAAAGCTAGCAAACATTACTCAAATATAATGATAAACACAAATGTAATGTTCCAAAATCCAAATCCAATTTTATTGCTTTTATGTGTAGTATGTATGTAAGAGGCTACTAAACTTAATTTTATAAAATTATTTATTGAATTGAAAAAAACTTTTAAAAAAATCGCTGATATTTTCTCAAAATGCTTACGTACCGGTAGAATATGTAAATGACACCTTGCAGATCCGGCAAATAGTTTTTTTAGGATAGTTTCTCTGAAACCCAAACACTTTCCAAACAGGGCTCCTAAGCCCTGATGGCGCATCTTTGATTTCGAGCTCAGCGTTTTCACGTTTACTTCACTAGGGGCAATCTGCGCGAGGTTCCATTTTTAGGTTCGATGCCCGTGGCCCGACCCGTGGAGCTAATACCCGCGGGCACTCGGGCAACGGGCCGCCCGACCCACCCCTAAAAATTGGCATGAAACAAGAGAATTTTTCCTTTTTTGCCACCTTTTGACATTTTATTACATACCTATACAACTTTAGATGCTCAGCTTAGTAAAATTGAATGGCAGAGATCATTTCTACACGTTTTAAAACAATTTTTGTGTAAATTGGATGAAAATTATTCAAATGAGAGCAATTTTTGTGAAAAATTTTGTGACGGATTTTCTCGTCCCTCTGGGCACCAGTCTTATTTCATTTGTGACGGATATATCCGTCACTCTGGATATTCAAGAGGTTAAATAATATGTCATTTTGTTTTATTTTTTTCCAGTTTGCCATGTTGGAAACCTTGACAACAGCTGTCATTGACCAATGGCCTGATGCATTGAGAAAAAGGAAAAGTTTTGTCATTGGTGGATTCTCCCTGATTATGTTTGGCCTTGGATTGCCCATGTGTACAAATGTAAGTATTGGTAAATCATTGTAAACCTTATACTGTTATTACTCTCGTCTCGAACATTTACTTTGTACAAGCCACCATTTTGTGCTTTGAAGTCTCAATTTCATCTAACTACTCTTTATATGAGAGAGAGAATTCTTTGATATAGCTTACCATGTACCATGGTACGATTTAAGGGAATGATGTAATGCAGATCATTGGAAAATCTCCATCGATTTTGACCTTCTTCCTTATTTGGGCTCTTATTGAAAAGGCCTCGTAAAGTATCGCTTGATATATTACTCTAGGAAAACAATCCTTTACATAATATATATTCTATAGTTTATGATTTAAATAATAACCACATTTTCACCCCTCCATTCATTTCTCCATCCACACCATTCATACACACCATTCATACACACCATTCATACACACCATTCATACACACCATTCATACACACCATTCATACACACCATTCATACACACCATTCATACACACCATTCATACACACCATTCATACACACCATTCATGCACACAGATGAATTTTTGATCAAATTTGCAAATGATATAACAATTATTCTTTTCAATATTGAGATTGAGAAGGTATTTTTATTATGTCACCACCACAGATGTTGAGGTATTTGTGGCAGCAGTTGGTGTTAAGTGTCTGTCGTCTCTGTAACAAATGGCAAGTGGTGACATTTTGCATGTTAATGCTTTGAACTTTCCGAGCAAACTGGATGGCAAATATATTGATAATCTAATATACTTCTATTTTTAGGGTGGTATATATATCTTAGAACTGATGGACACATATTCTGGAGGATGGAACGTGCTGATCATTGCCTTGGCTGAATGTATATCTATTGCATGGATCTACGGTACGTCACACAAGCTCCTTTAAATGGTTTAAATATGATAGAAAATGCATATTTATAAATACTATTATACCTATTTCCCTTAATCGATCATATCTGTTTGGATAAAGTCTTTAAAGTTATACATTTACTTACTTTCTATCTTGGATCTCTATTTTTTTAAATTCGTGAAATATACACCTGCCAATCCAAACTCTTTCGGCAGGTCCCACTAGCATACCGACTAGACAAGTTTTACTGTCTATTGAATAGTTTGGAACTAAAAACTTTTAAATACTTTTCCATCTTTGCTCTTAGTGAATACAAATGAAATGTAAAATCTCAGCAATTTTATAAAGGTATTATTTTTACTCAATGAGTTGTTCTCAATGAGCTGTGTTCTAAATGAGATGTTTTGTCAATGCGCTGTGTTCTCAATGAGATGTGTTTATGTTTGCAGGATTTACACGATTCAGGGAGGATATCCGAACCATGATTGGTAACTTTGGCTGCAACTGCTTCCCATGGACTTGTTGTTCATTCTGGTGGATAGGATGCTGGGCTATACTGACACCCCTCGGAGTTCTGGTAGGTCATTTTAGAATCAAGTTAGGTCATGTTAAAAATGATTCTTTTTGCTGAATCTAATATGCTGAGACAGTACTCAGTGTCACTATGTACATGCAGTTTTTTATTATATACATACCATGCATTTTATAGTAATAAATAAATAACAAAAAAGTAATAAATAAAAATATATAATGTTCCTAATATGATTATTACACTCTGCATTGAATTGATCAATAAATTTATGTTTTTTCAGTTTATCCTGTTTTTCTCTTGGATCGAGTATAAACCAATCACATCAGGGGACTACATCTATCCAGTTTGGGCAGAGGCGATTGGTTGGTGCATGACCCTCTCTGTTGTACTTGGTCTCTTTGTGACGATGTTTGTTATGTTTTGCATCACACCCGGAAGTTTCATGGAGGTAGGTGTTCAGATCAGAGTTGGAAACTCACAGATGCCATCGGCAAGCACTTTTTGTGGATGGTGGTCGGTGTCTGTAATAAATGGCAGGTGGTGACATTTTGCAGTTAATGCCTTGTTGCTTGCTCTTGGCAATAGAAAAGGAAAAGCTGGTTGCCTGTTGGGCAATGCACTGAATGCTAATGTCTTTAACGGTAGCAAACATGTTTTTACATTATTCGTGAACTGTGATTCTGATATGGCCCCTACCCCTCACTCTACCAGGACAGTTGGGTCAGATAATATGTGAAACAGGGGTTGATCAGAGAAAAGTCTTAATATTAAGTTACATGCCATCTTTATGTAGATTGTTAACTTTTTCTGGAAACGTTCAAATCATGAGAAATTATGAATATGACAATATAGGAGTTAAAAACCAAATGCAATATGATGAAACTGTAATCGATTTCTACAAACCATGTTTGCACTGTGATGGATTGAAATAAAACTGCATTTGATAAAATACACGTCATTTTCTGATATTTACAGAGAATGAGTTACCTTACTAACCCAACAAGGGAATGGGGGCCAGCGTTGGTCCAACACAGACGCAAGATAAAACATGTTCCTGGTTTTGTTGTCGACCCTTCATCAGACTCCACACCTTATGATGACCAGTACCCTAATAAAGAGTTTGGTGGTAGCTACCCTGCTACAAATTATAATGATATCCAGGTATGTAAAAATCAATATGTTCACATTAAAATATAATCCCTTGAAAGTACAGTAAAATTTGTGTAAGTGGAACACCCGTAGTATTTCAAAATGGTGTTCCACTTATGAGATATTCCACTTGTAGTGATCATTTTACAAAAATGACTTCGCATAATTCAACAGTTATACTTTAGTGACATGAAAATCAACTAATTTATATTTATCAATCAATTAATTTAGTGCTGACATTGGTACTGAATCAAAAACTAATGCTAGCCATTGTGAAGTTGCATTCACAGTACCAATTAAGTGCTCTGCCTAATTTCTTGTGTATGCTCGTTGTGATTTAACTGTCATGTAAAATGTGGTTGCTGTATTATTATTCCAGGTTGATGTGGACAATGGCGTTACAAACACAGCTTATGAGCCCTAAACATTCCAGTAAACAAAAATTAAGAAACAAACAAGAGATAAAAATATCTTACAACACATTCCTTGGCATTTCAGGTTCTCCATCAATATTAAGACCTCTTAGAATAAGAACGTAACATTTAAATAGAAAACATTCTAATTTGTGCACTCTGGAAACATGGAAGATGAAGGAATAATCAATGATAAATGTATCCCTGAATAATCTTTCAAGAATATACAGGTGTTAAATTTAATGTAGGATGCTATGGATTTATATGTAGACACTGATATTTATAATGTAATTACGGTGCATTGCTCAAATTAATTATTAATTAGCCTATGTAATGGCATATCAAGGATACATTTGGAATATCTAGGACAATTATGACATATCCAGGAAAATATGGCATATCCAAGATGACTATAATAAAAAGTTAAGTACAACTGAATCAATCGTCACCATTGGGTAACAAAGGTGACATAAAGGTGACAGATATGTCACTGTTGGACATTAAAAGTGACTGAAGAATAACAAGGGCAAGCCGCTATAACCAAGATGGATAACTACAATAATGGTCTTTGGATGACTACAATAATGGAAGGAATGCTCAATTAAACATAATTTAAGAGCTATCTAAAGGGACTATATAATATATATTAGAATGAGCTGTACAAAAGATGCACCCCTATTTAAACTGATACTTTTTAGCTCTTCAAATGCATTCCAAGTTAATTGGCTTAAAATGTTGCATTCCATGTTAATTGGCTTAAAAATGTATATAACCGCAGATAACAGGTATTTTTATATATCAATTTTAAATGGAGGACAAGTACAAACCTTTTATGGATTTTTACAAACATTGTAAGTTTTTAAGGGGTCTTTATCTCATCTGTAGTCTATTTTATACTATGCTTACTTTAATTGTACATTGCGTGTATATAAAGTACATAAAGTTTTAAACAAATGAATAACAGTGGATATTTTAGATTATGGCTTATATACACTAGTACTGATATATTTTTAATAATTTTATAAGAATACATTCAGAAGAGTTAGAGTAAAGCTGTGTAGATCTGTTAACTGAGTATTTTTATATTTCATGTACTATGTACCTGCTCTATACTCAAATCAAAATCAAGAAAAATTGATCCATAACTCTCATGTCAATTCTCATTTCAATTGATTAAAGAAGCTGATAGTGTTCCACAACACATATAACCTTATAAAGCTATAGTTTTGCTAAAAAATTGAAAATGAATATCGTCCCTGAAAGCTACAAATACAGTGCAAACATTAAAGTCCTGGTAAAAACCAATTATGCAAGTGAACGTATTCGACTAACTTATAGTGATATTTATAACTATACATATTAAAACATTAACATTTTCATAAGGTGAAATCCAAGTTTTCTCAACTCCATTGATTCAACAAACTGTATATCAAAAAAGAAAGTATTTTATCATTTTGATGGATTTTAGTTCAGTATTCTATATGTAACATGGAAACTATCCTAGCATACAAACTATTAAAAAATTAACTATATTTTAAAGTTGTGCGGTGTACAATCATATCAAAGGCATGTAGAGGAGTGGGATTTATTTGTAAATACAACATGATTTATATATATTATAAATACAACTCTTTTGTACAAATGTAGTTCTTATAATGCCCAAAATGTACAAGTCAGCGGCGTAGCCAGCGCTTTCAGTCGGGTGGGTGCTATCGTGGTGTAAGCGAGACAACATTTTTTCTAATCTAATTTTAAATTTTAGAAAAATTGATGCAACTTCCAAAAAACATTGAGTCTATCTTCTATCTAATGCTTCCATTTTTATAAGTTAAAGGGTGAGGGGGGTGATCGCACTCATCGTATCCACTCGCTACGCTTATGATAGTGTTCTCTTGATAGTCGAGTAGTTGAACGTTCGGATGGTGGCTCACTGTTCTCTTTTGCGTCTTTGCAGACAAAATCACGTGATGGGTTTTCAGCTTGTTTCTTGATGTGATTATCTGGAACTGAAAATATTTTTGGGAATGATGACTTTTTGGCAATCTTACACACCGATTTTTATTACTTTATGTTTACTTGATAATATTATTTCCCAATGTGGCTGTGAAATGTATATAGATGTATTACATACCTAGCGAAGCATTTGTATGGAAGTCAATGGGAAAGTTAGCGAGCTATATCCACCGATATTGCCCGATTACCCCTTCGTTCTTGCCCAAATATAGAGCCTCCCAAGGTCGGCCTATATTGGGAGAACTCAGGCATATTTCACGTCATAGTGACATAACCTCTAAATATAGTCCAGTCCAGTATAAAGTATAACAGTCCAGTATAAATGCATATGAAAAGGACCCAAGGTCATGTATTGCAGCTTTTTCAACCTCCTGGCCGCCCATTTTGTCATGATACCTGTTAAGTACACGTGTACGTATCGAGTACCGAAAACAATTTTATATGTGAATGGAGACAGTTAACCATGAATGTTAAATGATGAATGTTTTATAAAAGTAACCTTGAATTTTTTATATATTTTTTGATTTGTAAAAAGAATAAATTAAATTACACTCCAGACGGTTAGTGGTTTTATACAAGTAACATCGCCTTATTTTATATATACTGTATACTTGATGTTTAGATTTGTCAAAGGGATGAAACAAATTGATCTCCAATATGGTGTTTAAACTGCTTCTTTATTCGGTTATTGTCGCAAAAGTGACCTGTTCAGGTGAAAATCTACCCTGCGCGAAGAGTCTAGTTATAAACTGAAGAAGAAGCCCTCTTTTAAGAAGTGAAGTCAACGAATACAAAGGGTAGTCAAAATCGAGTCCTAGCTTTACAAAGAACAAGGTGATAGATTGTCCCTTGTTCTATCTTAGGTAGTTTTATATCATTATAGCCGTTCGACAATAAAGAAATGTAAAACTTTTTTCAAAACACCGTACAGTATGGTTACACTTATTCAGTTTACACCAATAATCTTTAAGTAAAACATGTAATTAAAATGCAACATTCGAAAAAGGGCTTATGAATAAACTCCTAAAATATCCATAACAATTTAAAAACAAATTAATCCACTAATTTCTATAGGGGCATGTTTTTCTAAAAGATAAAGGTTATACAAATATCGCATCGGGGGTATGTCTACAATGGATCTCATTTGGACCTTATTTCAAATAGAGAATACGTGGCGTAGGCCTATTTTATAATAGCCCTCGATTTCTGAAAAGGAAAAAGGACCGATATTAATGCCGCCGTCTATATTTTAGATATATCCCTAAATAATACTCCTATCACATTTTTTATTCAATAATTCCAAAGTATTTACTCTTCTCAACTCTACTCTAGGGCCTCTAGTGTTAGCCCATTTAAACCATTCATGGGTAGCCCATGGGCCTCTGTTCGGAGACATGCTCTGTCTAGAGAGGTCTATGGGTAAGCCTACCATGTACAAAGACGGACAAATACATTTGAATGCCTGGCTATAAAACGAGACAATCGTACCTGTATGAACAAATTCAACAAATGTCGATTGTGAACTGGGCATAAATAACGAATTCAATATATTTAAGTAGATCACGTGACTCCCGAATTGTTGTTATTGAACCTTACTGCAAAAGTTGTTTTACTAGGCGTTGACTCGATAGGACTTTCCAGGTAAGTTGTTATGTTTTTACTTATTTAATTATTAAGGTAAAAACCCTTCAACAACGTTACGTTAACTGCGTAAATCGTTGCCAACTTGGTTCTGTGTCATTATCGCAGTGATCGAGGGCGAGTATAATGTATATTTGGATATCATAAAGTATGCGCCATGTGAATATTTTGTAATTTATGTATTTGCTCGTACTGTGCATTCAAGTTGGCCTTTTCGGAAATAATGTATGTCGTAGTTGGGTTTCTATTTTGTTAATGGTGATATGGTTTTATAAAATAAGGTCATTTCATTATTGAGTGACCAATCACCACTATATTCATTTGTGGGTAGGTCATGAGGTAGGGGTTGGATTGGGGGAGCGGGTAGTTTAAGTGAAATATTTTTTGCCTATTTTCTCTAAAAGGCAATGTCAATTGGGATCTTTTCAATCTTAAGTCCAGAGAGTTTTTTTCTGAAAAGCCGAGGTAGCAAATCAAGTACCCTGCGCGCAGAGTCTAGTTATTAACTAAAGACGAAGCTCTCTTTTGAGAAGCAAAGTCGAACGAATGCAAAGGGTACAAACCAAGACACAGGCCATCTAGAAAATATGGAGAGTGGGATTTGAGAAAAATATAGGGAACACGAGGGTCTTATTAAAATATCAACACTGCCCAAAATACATGTATATCACTTGTTGGGCATTTACATTTATGCAACTCAAAAAAGAAGTTTCATGTTACTTATGTACCCAGTTGAATCCATGAATATCCCGAGAGCAAGTTTAACATTTAAACAACTGACTATTGTGCATGACGATTAAGGAATCATTGAACTGTATCCCTAAACTTTCATCTGAATCATTAGATTGGCAGGCCGCAGTGTCCTCAAGGTACCATCATGCTTTAAACGTACTAAAAGTAGAATAGTTTGCGTGATTGTGCGACCCACTGAATATTTAAAGAGTAAAACCAATGTTTAGCCTCCTTCAGTTAATTCTCTTTGGTTTTGCACCCATCAAGTATGATACTTACGAAGTCTGGTATCGATGGTAACGTTTGTCTGTCCGTTTCGTACACCCTTCCATAAGTTTGGCAAATGGAGGTCCATATTTGATGGCGTGCTAAAGCCAGCATATATCTAAGTCTTAAACATTCTCAAGTACCGTACAACACGCCGTAAAGAGACTTTTATGAATTTGTTAAATCCGACAAACTTAAACCAGATTTTACTCTCCCTCAAGTGGGGACATCCGGTGAATTACCAAGGTTACGGAGGGGATGTATTAATATTATCATTTGGCGAATAACATGCAGATTAATGAGAAGGTGGCTTTGGATTATTGTTACTTCTTTCCTATTTATCAAGTTACCAGCAATTTTTTAATCTGACCTGCTCAAAACCTATGTAGATAATGCTCCCTTTTAAGAAGCTAAGTCAAACGAATGCAAAGGACATTCACTATGAAGACAAGAATCTTTAATAAGTACATGCACAGTACACATAGTTCTTTTTAACTCATACTATTGAAACATGTAGGGGAATAATTGGCCTTGCATGTCCTAGGAAGTGGGAGGTACTACCATGTGTGTCACATTGTCAACGAATTAAAAAGTACTTGAAGGCAAAAAGGCATGTTTCGTCAACCGGTGGTAAAGTCTTGTGTCAAGTCTCTGGAGCCCCCTTATTATCTTCTTCAACACCATCGGGGAGGTATGTAGTGTGGTGTGGAGGTGGGGGGGGTCACAAGGGCATTAGCAAGGCTAGCAAAGTTGTAAGTTGTAAGAAACAATCAGAAACTTTGGCTTTTCCAGACAGAAAAACCTAGAGAAGAAAACGTAAAAACAAATATTAACATTTAAAAAAGGCATGGCTGGCAGTGGCTGGTGAATATGAGATCTTCGTGTATTGAAACAAGGCACCAAATTGGAGTCAACGAGGTACTTTGTTTAGTTACTGTTTTAGATTTAGACAAATTCAAAAGTTTCATCTCTTCCCCTAGGTTATGCGTTCAGATGAATATGATTTTGTACTTCTTGATACATTTGCTTCACAAGAAATCATCGAAGCCTGCTTTTCGAGGATTTTTTTTCAAAATGTTCAAAATAACACGGGTAACTTCCCTTGCATTCGTTCGACTTTGCTTCTTAAAAGAGAGCTTCGTATTCGTAATTTATAACTAGACTATTTGCCTTATTCTTTTATAGAACATTGGATTAACATACTAAGTTAAGGAATAATTCCTCCCAAAAAACATTCCCAAGGAATGCAAGAAAACGTTTTGATCTTGGAGGTTTTGGGAAGACAGGTTGACGCTGCTAAACAGATATCTGTATAAAATGACTCAAGTTTATACAGTGTACCTCCATTTTAATACCTCCCCCACAACCTCAATCTCTACCCATTCCCTTCAAATTTAAGCCACATTTGTATCCCCTCAAACAAACAAATAAACTCGATAAGTAAATGACACTTTTGCCATTCTTTTGAGCTATATTGAGAGCTTTATATTTTATTGTTTGTTTTGCGCGGCTAGCATACATCATAACATAGAGGGCAATGGTCATAACAAGCCCATGAATAGTAATTTAGACGGTATTTAATTCTGTCCCTTCCAGTTACACCGAGTTATGTTATTTTTCAAAAATAGTACTACTTTTGGGACATTTCAGAATGTAAGATAGTAAATCATTGACAAATGAAAATTTAGTTCAGCATGCCTGGCAAAACAGAACGGCAGTGATTTGCAGTTCATGACTTTTTTTTAAAATTACCTTTACAGTTGATTATTTTAGACCATAGTATATGTGCGACCGTAAGATTCTCCGTTTTTATACGTGTTCACGTCCTCCCCTTAACGCCCCTTTAAACTAATGTAAACTA